TAAAAATGATATTTTGAGATAAGTATATTTTTTCCAATTAGTCTGATTATAAATTAGGAACTATTTGATACTAACTTGATGCATTACAATATTGTAATAACTATAATCTTTTTCTTAGAAAAGATAATTCATCTAACTTGATTAAATTTCATTAGATTCATATATTAATGATCATCACTTCTAACTATGGGATAGATTATTATTTGAAACATAAATTGTGAAGTCTTATTCTTTTTAAATTCACTGTCGTGTAATTTTATTAAGGTTAGACGTAGGGTATTACGGAATGATGGTAAATCAGTTGATGAGGTCGTGAATATCCATCGACTGAGATGGTCGGGTCACGTGTTACGTATACCTGAACACCGATTGCCACGACAAGCAATGCTGTCTAATGTTAGGGAAGGGGTGGCCAAATCAGCCAAAACTTGGGATCAGTCCTTGAAGTCACTGAATTCTAATCTGAGTCATGTTGGTAGATGCAGACTACTTGGTTGGGATCCGCATGACGATCGTAATCAATCGTTGGAGACTCTGGGTGACATGGCTCAGAATCGATCAAAATGGTGTAGGCGTTTACATTCTCTGTCTTCCATTAAACGATGAGATTAAAATCGATTCATATCTTTCTTTTTACCAACTAATTGTTTCTTCCTGTACTATATCCTTATATGTAATCTTTCGTTTATATATTACACCACTGAATTAACTGCTTCTATGAATCCGGTGTTCGTCTTGCTGTGCTAATGGGGTGTAGCAACTTGAACCGATGCATATATGTGCCTGGTCCCTACGTTGTAACTAAGCGACTTATCAAAGTCTTTTAGCTTCAAACAAATACAACAGTACCTTCTCATTAATTGCTGAATTGTCATCAATAATACTCTTAATTTCAATACGAATGTTTACTAACTAAAGATATGAAGGTATTAAATGGTATATCTGTTCAAATATATGTGTATATATGTATATTTATAAAAGTAGTTTTATTCAGATAGTTGATTAGATCTATTTTGGAAGTACTTCAATTTTAGTTACTTTTATTGGAAATATTGATCAAATCGACTCAAATGACAATCTATACACACATAGATCTATTACAAACAGTTAGTCAACTTGATAAATTTAAATAAGATAATGAAAGTTCAAATTCATCAGAGTAATATATTTCTGAATGTTATATCTCGATGAGAATAATGAATGGTAACTTTTGGGATCTATTGATGGACCAATACTATACGTAAATTTTTATCGTATCATTGTTAAATAACTAAACTATTCATATTCATGTCCCTCTTATTCTAAGCTTTATTTTGATCTATGAACTAGTATTATACGATTTACCATTCTTGAGTTATACCTAGTTCATTAATTACTATCTCCCACATTCACAGCCACTTTTGGCTAAATCTTGTACAGATGTTATTTTCTGTTTTATTGGTACGATGTGGTCTGTCTGGTTGATATATAAACCTAGTGTGTTTGAAATAAATGATTCATATCGATGAGGCTGAGATTGGCGTTCTGGACTTAAATGGCTGGTCTAAGCTAGGCGGTAAGCATGACCGATAAGTTCTCCAGACTGCTTGCACGGGTTTTCTGCGTCATTGGTCCGATCACCACTTTATTTTCTAAAAGAGATTCATCATTTCAACTTGATAATATTAAATATTTTCAAAGGTAGTTGATTGTTTTCAACTATCGTTAGAGAATTATTGTTTCTTTTACTAATTAAATAAAGTTTATGTTTTCATTTTCAGTACAAACAACATACAACACTAATTGCATCTTTTCTTTATTATTATTATTATTATTATTATTATTATTATTATTATTATTATTATTATTATTATCTTTTTCTTGAAACAATTCTCAGTTAATTCAGAAATCAGTTTTCTAAAGTGTCCAAGAATATTGATGCCCCCAAATGCTGTCGTATGATCATAAGTGAAGAGACTTAACTCCCCCTCTCGAAATGCCCTCAGATTGGCCACGCATATACATCCACTGCCAGGGTAATACTACTGACTGCCTTCTCATGGAGGTGGTGTTCTTTACAAAACTGAGGACGAAAAGCGAATGTCCGGCTTCATAACCGAGATGGTGGATATGGAGGATCCACCTAGGAGTGTTGGAAATCCCTGATTTCAAACCAATGGTGCACATGAGCTCCAGGATCCTGAGGGAACAAATGGCGTATGAACCTATTGTTGGTCAATGGTTACCATGGGACTGCATCTCCTTACGTTGCTTCACCTGTCTTGTGAATTAAACCTCCAGGGTAAAGGCTCGAGGTGTGGCCATCTAAGAAAAATCACCTGCTTCGGTTTGGGCACCCAAGCAGTATCATAGCCCACACACAAATCAAATGACTTGTATGGTGCATATATATTCGGGGCCAATATTTATCTGTTCAAATAGTAATCAATACATCAATCGATATGCTGAAATATGATCCTCTTAAAAAGGATCTTCCTGTCTTTTGATTTATTTTTGGTGTAAAATTATGCTTGCTTAATGAACTGTATCGAAAAAGAATAAAAACTGAAATAAAAATCAATTTAGGAAATAATTCTGTTTTTTTTTTAAAAAATTTATATTATGTACTGTATTATTTCGTGTATACTGGTCATTAGTTTTTATTAAGACTATAATTTCTTTACCATTTATTAATTACTTAGAGACAACATAAATTATACATATTGAATGATTTAAATATTGTTTATCATCAGAAGGGGTTTTGTGGAGGTTTTTAGAAATTTCAATAGTTGAAATCATGAGTCGATTGAAGCTAGACCACCATGGAAAACCTGGAAGCACTGGATGGCCGCTTCGTCTTTGTATGGAACTCTTCCTTGGCAATAACCATCCACGATCCCACCTCACGAGATTCGAACCCAGGATCTACCAGTCTTGCGCGCGAGCGCTTAACCATTAGACCAATGAGTCGGATGGCATCCAACGTTGTTAATGTTTAACTTCAACCAATCCACAAAATTGCACTACTGTACACCATTGTCTTCAGTGAGTTGATATCTCACAACAGACCTGATTGAACTCCACTGGTCACAGCTTCTCACTAGAACTCCAGGAAATGCCTCTTGAAGTCAGTCACTGGTGAGCAGATGATTATTATCAGAAAGGGTTTTGAAGTTAGACATTAAGTCCATTGGATGTCAGCCGACTCAGTGGTCTAATGGTTAAGCGCTCGCGCACAAGACTGGTTGATCCTGGGTTCGAATCTCGTGAGGCGGGATCGTGGATGCGCATTGCTGGAAAGTCCCGTACTAGGACGAAATGACCGTCCAGTGCTCCCAGGTTTTCCAAGGTGGTCTAGCTTCAAATGACTCATGATTTCAACTATTGTTTATCAGTTAATTATTGGTGGTTTACACTGTTTTGGAAAATACCCAACATGATACATAATTGATAATATAACCTCATTATTATTGATGTGTCAATTTTTTGTTTTTACATTTATGTTAAATGTTGTATAGTAACTGAAATAAATTCATTAGTTTATGTTTTCAGTATAGGGGTTGGGGAGATTATTAAGTTATTGATTGAGATCATGAGCCGATTGGTGTTAGATCACCATGGAAAACATGGAATCACTGAACATGCCATTTCGCCCCATTATGGGGCTCCTCCTTGGCAGTGCACATCCACGATCCTGCCTCACGAGATTCGGACCCAGCACCTTCAGTTTCGCGAGTGAACGCTTAACCTAATAGACCACTGGGCCGGCCTGCATCCAACGGTGTTCATGTTTAATCTCAACTAATCTACAAAAATTGAGCGACTATTTTCCGTTGTACTAAGGTAGATACCTGTCTCTACTCGACATGGTAAATGTAATCAAATTGAATCAATGGAAAAGTGTATCAAGAGAGCTGAATTTGAATATTTAGGATCGGCATCTAAGGAAGTATCATCAGACTACTGATTTCCTATTTAGTTCATAATAATTTATTATTGAAAATTTAATATTGATTGAGCGACAAGTCGTCGTCAAAGTCATATTTGCCTAGTCCTTAAATCTTATCTATTTCTACTGATCGAATCAGGATGTAACCAATTGTCTGAGTGATTTGACATCTCGTAAACTATGTAAGTATCTATGTGAAGGTTGGACTTGATAGTTTCGAATAATATCAGAAGGGGTTTTGTGCATATTATAGTAATTTTAATGGTTGACATCATGAGTCAATTGAAGCTAGACCACCATGGAAAATCTGAAAGCACTGAACGGTCGTTTATTATCTCGTGTACTGTGTTGGAAATTTAGGTAACTAAATTTAGTTGACAGAAAAACCCAGATCTAGCATTCGCGCTAGCTGACACTCGTGCGCAAGACCTACTAGCAACATTCAGGTGACTGAATCACTGTGAATTTTGTTGAAGAAAGTAAGAAATCTCTGAAACTAATAAATGATAAGAACATTTACATATGAAAACTAGACGAATGTTTATATACTGACATCAATATTGTTATTACTTTTGATCACATTACCAATTTAACTTGTCAAAATTGATATATCACCTCCCAAGAAATTACAGGTAATCACTGATAATATCGAAGGTTTCCTACCTTCTACTTTCTATCGCTTGACATTAATGAAATTTAAAAATAGGCATTTATTATGGTTAAGTATGAAAAAAAGTGGATTAAATTTGATTTCAATGAAGATAAATCAAATTATAAAGGATCTTTAATCTAATAACAACATAATTAAGACTCATTTTTCCAAATAGAAAAGATCGATCAAAATTCAGTCTTGACTAGTAAAGCCTGCAAACATTTTTGATTATGGTATGGTGTATATTACCACCATACCAGTTAAACAAATTAATAAGTCTTTGAAGTTTAAGGTTATAAGTGCTAAACACAAGTCTCATTATGGATAGCAACATCAAGATGCAGGTATTTCAAGATAGCAAAATAAGTTAATGTATTTCATCTAATATCATGAATTTATTGATTTCAATCGAAAACATACCTCTTGATTCATGAAATTGTAATGCTGTTGCAGCATCTGCACCAAGAGAAAAATAATTATTAAAAACTTTCAAGGGTAATGTATCAGAAATTGGTCTATTTCTTGTGGAATCATCATCTTCATAGTCGGTTAGTTGTTGAGTTGTTTGAAAATCTGTTCGTACTTCACTATTCACTTGCCATCTGTAATATAGAAAATGTGAAATCGGAATGATTAAATAATTATATCTAGCTGAATTATAAATGAAGTGATATGATACCTAGAAATGTGGTCAAAAAACGTATACACATCGAATTTGTGTAGGTCTCAACATATACAAAGGGAAAAGCAAGATTCTCCGAAACAGCACAATATGCATCAATCATCTCACACTTGATGGAGAAGATTCGGAGGATGTATAAACCTTTACATATTTGGGCAGCATCATTGATGAACACGGTAGATTTGATGCAGATGTGAATACGTGGATCGGCAAAGCAAGAGCAACGTATCGACAATTGAAAAACATCTGGAACTCAAAACGACTGTCTGTCAACCAACATCAAAGTCAAAAATTTTTATATAAATGTGAAGACAGTTCTACTGTATGGAGAGGAAACTTGGACAACTACGAAAGCCATTATTCACAAGATACAAGTGTTTATTAACAGTTGTCTACACAAAATACTTCGAATCAGTTGGCCAGACAATATCAGCAACAATCTACTATGGGAGAGAACAAACGAGATTCCAGTGGAGGAAGAAATCAGGAAGATGCACTGGAAGTGGATAAGACACACATTGAGGAAAGCACCCAACTGCGTCGCAAGACAAGCCCTCACTTGGAATCCTCAAGGACAAAGGAGATGAGGAGAACCAAAGAACACACTACACTGAGAAATGGAGACAGACAGAAGAATGAACAACAATTGTATAGAACTAGAAAGGCCTAAGACAGAGTGTTATGGAGAATGCTGATGGGCAGCTTATGCTCGGTCGGGGGTAACAGGCGTAAGGAAATCAGATTTCTATGAAATGTATTATAGATTATTCTCATTGCTGTAAACAATTTGTAAGTTATTTTATGTTTAAATAATATCTGTAAAACGATTAATGTAAACTAACAAATGAGAACTATTTATAATCATGTATGTCGGATATGCACAGTAGATAGTAATTCAACTAATCAGTAACAATATAAAATCTTCTAGCGATACTATAAGTTGTGAATGAAATAATGAAATAAAAGATAGTAAGCCTTGGATTTTGGCTTAGTATTCATTTATCCATTCAAATGGATAACGATACTCTACAGTAAATGTTACATTATGAACTAAGCTTTTAAATAGGTCTCCAGTGCTGCCTAGATTTTTGTAGTTATTTGGGTAAGATTAATTGGTGATGTGAACCGTCCAGTGCTTTCAGGTGTTCAATAGTGGTCTAACATTGATCCATTCATGATCTTAATCAAAACTCCACAATCTTCAAACCTCTATACTGATAATTATCATGTACTCACTAATGACTAGCTTCAAGATGGATTTCCTGGAATTATAGTGATAAACCGTGGCCAGTGGAGTTCAACCGTGTCTATTATGAGGTACTTGTTCATCGAAAACAATGGAGATCGATTGCGCAGTATCTCTGATTGGTTGAAGTTAGAGATTAATACTGTCGTATACCGGTTCAGAGGTCTAGAGGTTAAGCTCTCACAAAGGCAAAAACCATTAGAATCACTCTGAAGATATTCAGTGGTATAATTTCAGGGTTCAGTTCTGAGTTCAAACAAACATGACTTCTCAATAATATCAATAGATTATCATTTTTCTGTAACACAAATTTATTGAAGTTGAAATTGTACTATTTCACATTAACCCTATGTCTCAAAAGGCTAAATGTCAGCAAACAAAATACTGATTTTGAGTCCCCATCTGTACATCAGCCTTGAGACCCAAATAAACCTATGTAGAATGTCCGAGATAGGATGAAATATAAATCCAAGATTCTACTGATTAATATTTCTTGTTTCTTAATCAGATGTGCATGTTTTTCAACAAATATTTAGATAAACTATCTATACAATTTTTTGATTGAGATCATGAACCGATTGATATTAGACCACTATTGAAAACCTGGAAGTACTGGACGACCGTATCGTCCTATTGTCGGACTGCTCAGCAGTGCCCATCCACAATCCCGCCTCGCGGGATTCAAACACGGGGCCTTCTGTCTCGCACGCGAACGCCTAGTCTACTAGATAATTGGGCTGGCATTCAATGGTGTTAATGTCTAAACTCAACCAGTCCGCAAAGTTGCGTGACCATCTCCCATTGTACTGTGGTAGATACCTGTATCAACACGACACGGACCAGCCCCACTGGTCACGGCTTCTCACTAGAACTCCGAGAATTCTCTCATGAAGTTATTCACTAGTGGGCACATGGTAATTATCAGTTTAGGGGTTGTGGAAATTGTTAAGTTTTTGATTGAGAGCCAGTAGGTTAAGCGTACGTGTGAGAGACTGATGGCCACGGGTTCAAATCCCGCGAGCAGAATCGTGAATGCTCACTGCTAAGGAGTCCCAAAATAGGACTAAACGGTCGTCCAGTACTTTCAGGTTTTCAATAATGGTCTAACATCAATCGGTTCATGATCTCAATCAATAACTTAACAATCTCAACAACCCCTTAACTGATATTTACACAATTCATTGATTAACTGTAAAAAGTCAAATTTTTCATAAGGTTTAACTTTAAAAAATTATTAATTTATCATTGATTTTAACGAAAACCTCAACTTAGTTGTATTGTAGTGCTAACGTGTAGACATTTATTCATAAAGTTGTTTCCAAAGTGACTGATATTTACAAAATTGTATGTAACTTGTAACGATGACTAATTTATTAAGTTTTTTTTAGTTTTGGAATAAGACATATAACTTTTGTAACTATGCCTAATGGTATCAGTTTTGAATTTTGATTTCAATTTCTGCTTATCATTCAGTAAATTGAACATTGATCTATCAATCATATTATTACAAATTTAAATTCTTTTATATTTGATTTCAATACAGTAACAAGGTAAGTCATGTGATGCAAGAGAATTTAATTGATTATAGTACGAGTGATCTGTTACAATGTAATCTCATTCTAAGAAACAATAATTATGTAGTCGAATTTTTGAATCATTTGAAGCTAGACCAGTATGGAAAACCTGGAAACACTGGACGACTGTGTCATTCTATTGTGTAACTCCTCATCAGTGCGCATTCACGATCCCTCTCCACAAGATTCGAACCGAAGACCAACGCTTAATCTATAGAGTAATGAGATGGCCGGCCGGTTAACATTCAACGGTGTTAATGTCTAACTTCTACCAATCAAGGGAATGGAGTGACACATTCACCATTTTATTCAATAAGTTATTATCTCACAACAGACCCGGTTGAGCTCTACTGGTCACTGTTTCTCACTAGAACTCCAGGAAATAATTCTTGGAGGCAGTCACTAGTTAGCATACGATGATAATTTTGAGAAGGGGTTTTGTTGAGTTTTTAGTAATTTTATAGTTGAATTCATGGATCATTAGAAACAAGACCACCATGTAAAACCTGGAAACAATGGATGATCGTTTTATCCTAGTATGCCACTCCTCATCAGTGCACACCCACGATCCCACCACGCAAAATTCGAACTCAAGAGCTATCAGTCTTGCGCGTGAACGCTTAACCTTTAGATCACTAAGAAATGTTTATACACAATAAGTAATTGATTAACTAATCTTAAGTACATTTTCATTGATACAAACCTGATTGTCAATTAATGTAAATTAATCATATTAAAATGAATTTATTCAAAGAAAACTTAATTTTATCCCTAGTGCATATTAGATTATTTTTATCTACTAACTTTATATTCTTACATTCATCACGTTATTCCCATTCACCGTTTCTAGTATAGAAAGAAAAAAGTCTAGTTCTCCGCAGTTATAATAAACATCATTCATAATCCCTATACAGTATTTATGAGGCCTAATAGAATATGAGAAAATTATATAATATACAAATTGTAATAAAATTCAAGTTATAACACAAGTCATATAATATTGAAGTTAGGTAGATGGAACAAATTGATAAGAAACTCAGATCTATTAAGCAAAAATGAGTAGTGGCTAGCAGTGGAATGCAGGACGCACGTTTCGTCCTCGTCAGCTGGATGTACCTGCATTTCAAAAAGTTGATGTTCACTCTGCATTCCTGCAATTCTAAATAACAATTGGAAGATATAACTAAAACAACACAAAGTAAATTCAGATGTGTTAGTTCGATGTTAGTTGGCACTGGTCAATAACCTATAGATTTAACAATTTGATTTAATTACAGGTTGAAAAAATTACCGGATGTCAACGGATCTATTAGGGTGAAACAAATTGTCATTATAACTAATTATAGTAGTATTATTATTTACTAGCTTGGATAATTTTTCTGGTTATCATTTCTATTTTAGTGTATACTACTTACGCTGATACAATATAAGTAGTATGTAGCACCAATTGACATTGGAATGCTTATCAACAGAAGATTGAATTGAAGAGAACAAAAATGGAAATGAAGAGTAATTAGAATAACAATAGAATTGATAGAATCATAATAAATGCAATGAGCAACTGAAGGGGGAATGTGTAAATAACGTATTTGATGTATAATTTTCATATTTAATGGAGACAATATAAATTTTTAAAAAATTGGTTTTACCCCCTAAGTTCTCGTTCACTGTACTATGATTAGTAATAATAATAATAATAGGAATGGTTACAAGTTTATCCAGTAATTATTATTGTTAAATTACAATAATTATATTACTGACAATGATATGATGAGAAATGAAAAGAGAACGGAACTAGTTAAATGATGCATTAGACTTATATAAAATATAAATTAATATAATCAATTGTAAAATAATATGAGATTAAGCATATTACTTACTTACTTACGCCTGTTACTCCCGATGGAGCATAGGCCATTGAGGACCCGGAGCAACCTCTGGGGCTACTGCCAGTCCCAAGCCCGAACAAAGGAGGGGGGTTGGGAATGGGGTTAGCGACCCCATCCCATAGAAAACTAACTCGCTAGAAAAAAACAATTCTAACCAGAAAAAATAGTTCAAACCATTTAAACTCTGCCCTAGGAGTTAGAGGGTCTTCATTTAGAAGAGTTATGATGCCTCATAGTGAAAACCGAGTTCCTTCAGAAGTTACGAAACTAATGCCTCTTCTGACAACCAGAGTAACCATTAATTAAGCATATTAAGATAAAGATAATGTTAGAGATCATGTTTAAAACATGAATGAAAATTTATTCATAGCAATAATCATTCATAATTAACGAACAAAGAATTATGATTGAATCGATATATATAGTGGGAGAGAACAAATCAGATTACAGTGGAGGAAGAAATCAAGAAGAAACGCTAGAAGTGGATAGACATGAGAAAAATGAATAATAATTGGATAGAACTAGAAAGGAAGGTCGAGGTCAGAGTCGGTTGGAAAATGCTGATCGGCGGCCTATTCTTCATTGGAAGTAACAGGCATAAGTAATATATATATCAAATAAATATATTAGCTAATATAGTTGGAGTAAAAATTTATTACAGAGAGAAAGTTTATGCATTGAAAAACAAATTGGTCTTCCCCAACTTGGTGTTGATTCACTGCAGTAATAGTGAAAAAAAACTACAACCGTATGATTCAGTGATAGACATCGTTTTAAACCAAAATCAGTACTTAATATCTGCACAGTTTTATTTTATTCACATATCCTTTAATATGATTCAGGCAAAGAGTTGGAATTCAACAGTAAGTGTTTCAAATTCTACAGTTTACAAAATATCCCATCGCGTAACTTTATGGTATTACAGACGGAATTATTTTCATCGGTTAATCATTATGTATGTTTAGGCTAATATGAGCTTTTTAATGTTTTGAAATTATATAGACGTTTTGGATTATCGCCTTTCATCTTTCATTTTGATGATCTATTGTCAAATAGCTGATCAACATAATACTAGACTTTATGTTGATTAACAATCATCAGGAAGAAATTCTGGCAACTAACAAGCAAATAATATTACTAGCAACGTTAAATCTTCCACCAATCAGAATTCAATCCAAAACGTTCATACTAAGTTATCACAATACTGTTACGCATTACTAATGATTAATAAGGATTACATGATCTCTTTTTTCTTTCTAATAATGATCCATCAAATAAATTCGACGATCTTATTTATAAAATATTGTATTGCCTTAAGTAGTTGTAACATTGTAACTTTATAGATCGAATCCGATTAACATAGGACGCATTCTACAATTCATTTAATCACTAAAATTAATTTTTTTCTGTTGTCAAAAAAAACTGAGTCGACTGAAGCTAGACTATCATGGAAAACCTAGAAGCACTGGTCGGTCATTTCGTCCTATTATGGGACTTTTGGGCTCGAGTCTCTCTAGGCGGGATCGTGGATACACACTACTGAGGAGTCTAACACTGGGATGAAACGGCTATCCAGTACTTCCAGGTTTTCCATAATGGTCTAGTTTCAATTAACTCATGATGTCAACCGTTGCAATTACTATAATATCCACAAAAATCCCCTACTGATATTAATCAACATGTGCTCACTAGTGATTGGCTTCAAAAGATATTTCTTGCAGTTTTAATGAGAAGCAGTGACCAGTGAAGTTCAACTAGGTCTGTTGTGAGATATCAGCTCACTGAAGACAATGGTGTACGGTGGTGCAACTTCGTGGATTGGTTGAAGTTAGACATCTGTTGGATGCCATCCGACTCATTGGTCTAATAGTTAAGTGCTCGCGCACGAGACTTATAAATTCTAGATTCAAATCTCGCGGAGGGCGAGATTATGAATGCGCACTGTCAAGGAGGAGTCCTATACTAGGATGAAACAGCCATTTAGTGCTCCTAAATTTTCCATAGTTGTCTAACTTCAATCCACATCATCATCTCAACTATTAAAAAAATTACTATAATATCCACAAAATCCTTTCTGATTTTTAATTATTTATGAGTAAAATTTAAAAAATAGAAAAAAACTTTTTTTTTATAAAAAAAATTTCATTGAATTTCTCACATCATTGATTTTCCACCCTCATTTTTCTATATACATTTTCACGTTCAATAAGTATGTCCTATTTTGTCGGTATTATGATTATGATTATTATTAAAAGAAATAAAGGCATGAATTCAACCGATTGCATACAATCATTAACAGTTACTATGTAATTCATTCTATGAGCATAGAAGTAAAAAAAAAGATTATTATTATTTAGTTAACTTTTTTACTCGATTTTTCTAATCACCAACTAACTATAAAGTACTTTCAAACAAAAAGGAAATTATTTTATCTTTTTTAAAAATTATTTATTTATGTTCATTTTGGGAAGGGGGAACATTTATAATTGTTTGCCTATCTGATAAGATCTTGTTTTCCCCCACACCACCCTACCCTACCCTACCCTACCCTATCCCACCTCACCCGTCCACTCCACTCCCCTCCCCTCCACGAAAAAATAAAATTTAATAAATTTAATATTGTTTAACCAACAACAAAAATTACAACATCAAAAGTATTATTTTATAATAAGAAGACAATTTAATAAAGTCGGTACTAAGGAACGTTAAATAAAATGTATACGATAGTTTAATAAGAGTAGAATATCAAATTAATTGGATTGTATACTTAAACTGATTGTATAAACAATACACGTAAACAATATGAAAGTAATCGACCATTTATCAGTGGAATGAACTACTCTCAATAGGTTGTTTTATTTTGTTGTTTTTTTTTTTAAAAAAATAAGCGTTTATATGATTAAAGTCAATGACATCAATGTTGCTATGATGTTTGGTCATAGTATCGTTTTAACTTGTGAAAGTTGTAATTTCATTTATTGAATTAACTTTAATTTAATATAGAGTTTTTTATTGGAATAGTTCATTTCATAACGAAACGCGCGTCCTGGATTCCACTGCTAGCCACTATCCATCTTTGCTTATAATGCTTGTAAATTAAGGCAATATCGAGGCATACGCACAGTATGCACATATGCCAATAAGAGACTGATCAATTTCAGTCCAAAAACATCAATGGGAAGATTCAAGTAAAACAATATCAAGTGAATCAGTGAGTTTATATTAGAATTCTTTTTAGGTAAACTGGTATTTAATTACTTTTATACTTGTGTTAATTTAATATCTATTCCAGATTATGTAGAAAGTTTATGTTATGTTATGTTATGTTATACATTCTACTGAAATCGTTTGGTTTATAAATAGTATTGTCAGAATGGGTTTTGTGGAGAGTTTTAGAAATTTTCATAGATTGAGATCATGAATCAATTGATGTTAGACCACCGTTGGAAACCTGGAAGCACTGGACGGCCGTTTCGTCCTGGTATGGGATTCCTCAGCAGTGCGCATCCACGATCCCGCACCAGGCGGGGCTCGAACCCAGGACCTACTGGTTTCGCTCGCGAGCACTTAACCAGAAGGTCCTGTGTTCGAGCCCCGGCTGGTGCGGGATCGTGTATGCGCACTGCTGAGGAGTCCCATACCAGGACGAAACGGCCGTCCAGTGCTTCCAGGTTTCCAACGGTGGTCTAACATCAATTGATTCATGATCTCAATCTATGAAAATAGTATTGTGCCTGATTTATAGTAAATAGTTTTTATTTTTTAAAATGATTTTAAGTTTTGTAAGATGAAAAGATATACAGAGAATGTCATACTTACCATAGCAACATTAATATACTATATTATAGTTAAAATTTTATTTGCATATTAAAGATATAGTTCCTTTTTCTCTATAAGCTTATGCTGGATTGTTCATGTAACAGAACAAAAATAGAGTGAAATAAAAAAAATAATTAATGATTCCAGGGGAATCATTAAGAGGTAAACGACATAAAACTCTGAAACTAGATCTCACACAAATCGGTACTCATTGTTAAAGTGTATCGTTAATCTTGAGAGAATTAATAAATCATATTGGATTGCAACCCGTTTCATAGAAGCAGTTACTGAAATGGTGTGATCACATATAAAGATTGGTCAGTTATAAGAAAGATATAAAGTAATTTTAATCTCATGGTTTAAGGGAAGATAAACAGTATGTACACCTGAATTTCTTAATTAAAAAGTACTAATGAAATATATTAGTAGTAAATTCATTTCCCCAACAACAAAATACATGCATTAACTAGTACTGTAAAACTATTAATAATAAGGAAAAGAACTTAACTGATACTTACCTGTCCAACGCAATAACACGACCTTCATAAACCGAGTTTAATATTTTCGATACAGATTCATCAATATAGCCCTGTAAGAAATGGTGATTAGTTTTAGTTTTAAGGGAATATATATATAAAAGTTATCTTCAACAATGTAGAGAAGAAGGAAGCCCACCACTATTCGGTAGGTTACTGTTTTCCATGAGTACAACTTGAAATGATGATTCTCTCTTGATCGAATGATTTTAATTTACAGATTGTTCAGTTATACAATTACTTATACATCCACTTTCGCTGACTATTAATAATGCTATTTTATGGTCTTTAATTTCCTAGGATAGAGAATACACCAAATAATTCGTATACATAGCTTGACAGCGGTAGATGAACTGACGAGACGAGACAGCTAAATCCTTGTCAACTAAAATATTTCAACATAAACACTTAGTTAAAGAGTGTTATTTTGAACGTGTTTGAAATCTTTCTCATCAATATTATAATAACCACAGATCATTCATATTTGAAATCAATGTTCATATAAACCAATTACATTAGTATTGTGATTATTTTCATATATTTGTAGACCTGAGCTTTATACTATTATTGACATATTTATTTGTAATGAGTATTTCATTGAAACGGTTTAATTCTTCCTTTATCATTATTATCGTGACTATAAATCCATCAGATTAGTAAAGGGTAACATATAACTAACAAACAATTGACAGACATTATAGTTTATCTTTCAAAGATATAATAACCATTTAGTAATTGATAACTTCAATCTATTTAAATATATCAATATCTTTACATATCTATTAATATAGTAACTTAAACTTTGTTAAAAATGCCATAAACTATTTGTAAACTACCTTTTTAATTTGTTATCTTTATAATTATCAGAAGGGGTTTGTGGAGATTTTTTAGAAATTTTCACAGATTGAAATCATGAATCAGTTGAAGCTAGACCACCATTGAAAACCTGGAAGCACTAGATGGCGGTTTCGTCCTATTGTGGGACTCCTCGGCAGTGTGCACCCACGATCCCACCACGCGAAATTCGAACCCATTTTTTAAATTTCTTTTAAAGGTAACTGAAAGTTACTTGTGACAGCGTGACAGCAATATATATATATATATATATATATATATATATATATATATATATATATATATATATATATATATATATATATATATATATGCTTACATAATCATATAACCAAATTATTAAACATCATTCAACTAGCTCATGTCAAAGAAGTAGCTAACTGAGCATAGAAAAAGCAAGAGATTTTTCGTAGAAATTAAACTCATTATCTTATGTAATTAGGACGAATAGTTTGATAGAAAATAGATTCTGAGTATTGAGAAGTCATTATATGTGAAAATTATATTTGAGATAATCTCAGTGATTGAAATTTAGAATTATTCCAATGTTTCGTCTAGCAAACAAATCTGAATTTCTCTAGGGTACCCAGAGATTATTTGAAATATAATCTGCACATATAATATCTTATGTGATGTTTTATTTCAGAGTAAAATTTTCGGTGGTCTAACATCAATTGGTTCATGATCTCATTCAAAAGCTTAATAGTTTTCACAACCCGATACTGATAATTACCATGTGTTCACTAGTGACTAACTTCGTGAGGGAATTCTCGGAGTTTTAGTAAGAAGTCATGACCAGTGGAGCTAATCCGTGTTGAGTAGAGACAGATGTCTATTTCAGTACAATGGGAGATGGTCGCGCAATTTCGCGGATTGGTTGAGGTCAAACATTAACACCATTGAATACCAGCTCAGTTGTCCAGTTGGTTAAGCGTTCACGTGCAAGACTGAGGGCCCCGGGTTTGAATCCTGCTATGCGGGATCATGGGTGTGCACTACTGAGCAGTCCCACAATAGGACGAAACGGTCGTTCAGTACTTTCAGGTTTTCAATAATGGTCTAATATCAATCGGTTCATGATCTCAATCAACAAATAAAATTTTTGGTTTTTATTTTTGTTACACACTACTCTTTATTCTAACTATAAATCTATTTTCCGGAAGAAAGAAAACAATAATAAAGTTGATACAGTGACAACTGAAGTGGGAAGAAATGTTTTAAAGGAAAAAAATCTAGATATTTTTTGTATGTTGATTATGTGTAGTTCAGTTAGATGATTTTTTTGATAAATTACATTTCCTTTGTTTTTAATCATACAAAGTATCACGTGAGTAACAACAAATGAAATTTATGTACTAATCTGTCATATCCGGATGAAGAATAAAGGAATGGTTAGTACTAGAATCTATTTATGGACCGTTATTGTATATATAGGCTTATTGTATAACTATGAAGTAACTATATTATATGTATATTCATATTCTTTTTATTATAGGCTTCTATTTGATCTATTGACTACTACTTTAAGATGAAATATTCTGAAATTGTTCTCAATCTATTAGTTACAATCTTTCAAATTCACAGTCACTTTTAGCTTGATCTTGTATAATTGTTATTTTCTATTTATGGTATGACGTAGTCGGATTCGTTTGTATGTAAACTAAATATGTTTGAAATATAAAATTCATTCAGTGAAAGCTGAGATGTGTATTATGTCAGTCAGTCAGTTACAACGTAAGACCAGGCGCATACATGCATCGCTCCAAGTTGCCATACCTCATTAGCACAGCAAGACGAACACTGGATTCATAGAAGCAGTTAACTCAGTGGTGTAATATATAAACGAAAGATTACATACAAGGATATAGTACAGGAAGAAACAATTAGTTGGTAAAAAGAAAGATATGAATCCATTTTAATCCCATAGTTTAAGGAAAGACAGAAAGTGTATACACATACACCATTGTGATCGACTCTGAGCCATGTAACCCACAGTCTCCAATCATTCGTTACGATAGTCACGCGGACACCAACCAAGTAGTCTGCATCTACCAACATGGCTCAGACTAGAATTCAGTGACTTTATGGACTGATGCCACGTTTTGGCTAATTTGGTCACCCCTTCCCTAACATTAGACAGCATTTCTTGTCGTGGCAATCGGTGTTCAGGTATAAGTAAAACGTGGCTCAACCATCTCAGTCGATGAAGATTCACAACCTCAACTGTGTAATCTGTACTCAAACGAACAGGGTTAAACAAGAAAAATCATTGAGTACTCAGAGTTGACTCTAGGCTACTTGTACAAGTTAACACATCATTGGTTTGGCACAGTATCAAGGTCATACAAGTTAATGTTGTGCTTGTCTATCTTGTCATGTGATAATTAACAAGGCATAGGAACACAACATAATCAAAAGTTTTTTTTCATTTCGTTCATCATTATCGAAGACAAAATCATTTCATTTTATTCGATATATGTGTTAGTTACTTTAAAATATGACATCAGATTTAATTAGATTTTATAGTGTCAGTTATTATGCCAAGCCCATATACCTTATTCTAGCTTCCGGACATCCCATTCTATTCGTTCTACTCGAACCATACTTTGACCTTGTTATTTATTCGCTTATCAATCTAGACTGTTTTTATATGAGCGTCTATGTGAGTGCCCTTCTTATCCTATTAATCACATGTCTGTAGCTTTATTTTGTCTGCCTATAAATATTGAGAAGTGTGAATTCGGAAAGGAATTTTTACATCACACCACTAGCAACAGAAGTCGACGCCATCAGAAATTATCCGCTACCCGACTCATGGAAAAAGTTACGCCGATTTCTCGGGTTAATAAATTATTACAGACGATTTATCCCGAATTGTGCGTCAATATTGCAACCACTAACAGATGCATTACGCGGAAACGCACGGACATTCCAATTATTACCAGACGCGATTCAAGCATTCGAGAACGCTAAAAAAGTACTAAATAAAGAACTGACACTACAATTTCACTATAGTAACTTAGTAATAATGAGAGATAATTAAAATGAATATGAGAACAGTGAATAGACATTAATCTATCAAATTTTCTAATGATAACTTACTGAACCCCAATTTAATGCTCTAGCTAGATCATTTCCAGTACCTATTGGTAATACAGCAACTGGTGGTATTGTATTAAAATTCATTGAATCAATACTAGAAAATATCCAACCAACTGTACCATCACCACCACATACTAGGATACGTAGATTTGGTACACGACTGAACAATTCTAAACTATAAAAAAATGAAATGAAATAATAATAGATTTAATGAATTAAACAGAAATAATATCAATAGTTGAAATCATGATTCAAATGAAGCTAGATCACCATGAAAAACCTGGAAGCACTGGACAGCCGTTACGTCCTATTATGGGACTGTTCATAATTACGCATCCACGATCCTGTCCCCAGTGGGATTCGAATCCAGGATCTAACAGAATCGCGCGCTAGCGCTTAACAAAAACTTATTCATTTCTATGGGATGTAAAGAGGTAGGAATCGGCATATATACAATGAGATCATTCACATATATCACAAAAGTGTTTTTTGTGGAAGATGGCAGATCATGCATATATATATAAACATATGTATGCACAAAGTAATATCCCTTTGTAGCATATGTAAGCATTACTTGCCAATACATTAGAAAATTTATTTATTTTAATGAACGTCATTAAAAAAGTATCAACTAACTATAAGAAAGATAATTCATAAGCATTGTAAACAAAAATGGATAGTGGTGGCTAGCAGTGGAATCCAAGACACGTGTTTCGTCCTATTTAGGACTCATCAGTTAGATATACCTACATCTCAGAGTTGATATTCACTCTAGGACTTGAACCAAATACTGTTCGCTTCAAACGCCATTACATTATCCACTTAGCTACTGAATCCTGATAGGTACTTGATTGTGCAATCATGTAAAGTTTTAATTCACTTGATATTGTTTATTTGTTTGTTTGAATCTTCCCATCAATGATTAACACTACAATTGATCAATTTCTTATTAGTATATATGTGCATATTATACTTATTGCTTTAATTCACAATTACAGTCTTAATCATCAATTGGAAGATTCAAGTAAAAACAATATCAAGTGAATTGATAAGAAATGAATGTTAGAAATTGTTTCTTTGTTTCCAATACAAAAAAAAACAAAAACAAGGTAATCCCAAATTTATTGATTCTTTTTTTTTTAATGAATTTACCCCATTTTTGGTCCACCTTTAGATAAATCAAATACTTGACGTGGATTTAATAACCATTGAAATTTTTTTAATAAATTTATACCTTGATTACCACCAGATTTTGGATTAAGAAATACTAATAATGGTTTTAAAGAAACATTATTGATTGGATTTGTTTTAATCACAAATGATAGATTCGATTGAATATCAATCATATTGGATTGACTCATTGAAATAGATTGTTTATTATTATTATTATTATTATTATTATTATTATTATCATCATCATTTGTTATTATAGATGTCATGGAAGTTAATTGTTCTGATATATTCTGAATTAATTGATTTGAATCATTAAGATTATCTGGACGAGAATATGAAGAACGTAGTGGAGATGAATTTAATTTATAATTTGTTAAACATGAAGGTGTAACAAAACTATTTGATCGATATATTGATATAGATGTTAATGGTGTTGATGTTGATGATGATGGAGAGGAGGATAATTTGTGATTATTCTTGAAAATGAATATAAATAATTAAGAGTATAGTGATGATAAGAAATAATAAAGAAAATATAGGAATATAAAATTATGTCAAAAGTTGAAATCATGAGTCATTTGAAGTTAGATCATCATGGAAAACATGGAAGTACTAGATGGCTGTTTCGTCCTAGTATAGGACTCCTTCTTGGCAGTGTGCATCAACGATCCCCCCGCGAGACTCGAACCCAGGATCTATTAGTCTCGGGCGCGAGCACTTCAACTAATCCATGAAATTGAACGACACATCCACCATTGTTTTCAGTGAGTTGATATTTGATAACAAACCTGGTTGAACTCCACTAGTCACTGCTTCTCACTAGAACTCCAGGAAATGCCTCTTGAAGAATTTATACTGTGATACGATTAGTTATAATTAGTTCAAGATTTTAGCTATGAAAATTCTGTAAGACTATAATGTATGGACAAACCAATCAGGTATAAGATAACAGCTCTCGGATTTTGGCGCGAAATTCACTCATCGATTTGAATGAAAGAGTTTTGATATTATAGCTGATGTTATTTCGTCATGAAAACGCTAAGTCTAACTTCTAACCTTAACCATCATAATTCAAGGTCGTCACATAGGTTCATAACCCTCATTTGGTCCTAGTTATTAAACTGACTCTATATAGGTCATTCCAGCGTCGTTAAAAGGTCATCCATACATTATAATCTCACTGAAAATTCTATAAGCTCTCTATTCTATACGAATGTATGTTTGTTAAATGGCTGAAATGATGTTTAACAAGGCATTATGTAGAAGTGATAACTAAGTTATTTAAGAAAGTTGATATTCATTTCACCATTGAAAATACTCCTTAGAACATCGCTTAAACGACGTAAATAATGGACCTTATTATTTGTATTCATTAACAGAAAAAAAAACTAATTTGTGGATTGATTCGATTTGGTGGTTATTGATAAATGATGAACAGTAGTTGATCTAAGCTTTGTATCAATATACACTCATCAGTGTCATGAATGAACTGACACTCATTGCAGAATTCCAAGATACGTTATCTATCATCTCAGCTAAATACAATATTAGTCAGTTATCTATGTTATAGACAACTTTCTCAATGTAATATTCAAAATAAGGTCATGATATCATAACTTAGAAATAAATATATATCAATGAATGTGTATGTCATTTAATGTATTTATTATCAGTATAGGGTTGTGAAGATTAGTAAGTTTTTTGATTAAGATGATGAATTGATTGATGTTAGATCATCGCTGAAAACCTGGAAGCACTAGACGGCCGTTTCGTCCTATTATAGGACTCCTAATCAGTGCACCTCCACTATCTCGCTCGCGGGATTAATTGAATGATGTAGATACCTAGTCAACTGTTACAATTGAAGCTCTTATGTCTAATTTTTAAAAAAAAAACGTTTGAGCAATGATTCCCATAAATGTCGTAATCACTTTCATAATGAAATCTAGTAAATAAGAAGATAATCTTTAAATTCTATCTGTTACATACATGACACCAATTCTCGTCTATTTTCATCAACTTAAATCACATTAATGAATGACAAAAATTAAATAGGTACGTATGTTTTGTACAAACACTGATCTCAACAGACAATCACAGAAACGAAAAGGAGAGAAGGAAGCGAAACGGATTGGAAAAGGCATGTGAGCCAACTCAATTTAATCAAGCGTGACTCAATATTTGTAGTCAAACAAAAATAAGTTAAACACGTGATGAATAGGATAAGTAGTGTTTATATAAAAACAGTCAAGATTAATAAGCGAATACGTGACAAGGCCATAATGTGGTTTGGGAAAAATGTGTCCAGAAAGTAGAATAACCTTTGGCGAAGTGAAAGAAAAATGGTACACCTAATGATAACGGATGCACACTACAGGATCCGCAAATACCAACAGGTCATAGAGGACCAAAAGATGAAACTACAAAGGACGCTCACGTCAGAACATTTGGAAATCTTGACAACAGCCATCGAGATATCATGCGAACGACACAGAGAACAAAGAAGAAACACTTTAAAGAAAAAACTAATAAAGATCTCAAAACCATCCATGGAAGAAAACACAAACAACTGCGTGATCAATCTGTCAAAACAACCATTAACAAATATGGAAGAACACTTACTCCAGAAAGGATTAAACTACAATACAAGCGACGCCTCAAAGCTGGAATTCTTCGCAGCACTAGAGTCATCACTCAAAACTTCCGGAATCAGTGAAGAAACACAACAGGAAATAAGATCACTAGAATAACCTATATGGAATTAACATAGAACTAGACAATATAAGCTTTGCTAAGGTTACTGCCGTTTCCAACCCCTGGTATAGCAGGTGTTTTAGGTATCTGGTCTGAAACCCATCCCAGGTCCTTCTGTCTCGCGCGCGAATGCTTGACTTTCAAACCACTGAATCAGTATCCAACGTTTTTATTATTTAACTTCATTTGATTCATGATCTTGCTCAACTCTTCATTCATTGTCTGAGGTAAATAACTATCTTATACTCAGTACGGATTGTACTCCACAAGTCACAGCTCATAGTTATCTAATTATATTTATAGAATATAATAAATCGATTTCTAAGGGCTGCAATTAAATGCAACTCGATCTCGTAAATGTGGCTGTCTGCTTAGCGACCAATCAGAATGAGGCGGGAATTACTACATCCGTCATCTTTGTAAGCAATGGCGGTCGGCTTTCCTCATTCTGTGTTTTTTTTTCAGCTATTTCTTTTGTGTAGCTGCTTAATTTAATGTTTCAGTGTGCTAAAACGCCGCAGTTATTGTAATATTCTAAATGTTGGTGCAAATTTTCTTAGATTCAACATTGTTTTCTGGGTTTTTGCTGCTGCTACTCAAGTCGATGTACTTCATCAAGCAAGCTGGCTAGTCTTATATTATAAAATGTTAATCTGTTTTGCTTTGAGTATTTTTTTCAGATATGGAGAACCAAAGTTAGTTTCTTTTTTTTTATTAGCTAAAATAGGTGTTGCTGTCGCATGGGACTCTAACTGTCTGGTTATTTAATAAAAAAATACATTATAAAACGACACGTTCTATGATTACATGAATGCAGACATGACCGTTATTACACTGGACGATACATTGGGTTTACATGGAAACGTTGCAAATAAATTCACCCTTTCTAAGTGTTTACTAAAAAATATTGATTAATCACAATATTTTTCTTGAATAGTTTATTGTTTCTTGATTATTTTTTTGTAAAAAAAAACAAAAATTAAAATCAATAATGTTCAGTTCTGTATGAGTTAGATTAAACTGTAGAAATCAATTTTAATACATGCACTAGTATCATTTGCATGTTAAAAGGTAGTTACATAATAAAGAAAATTATGTTAGTTACAGTTAAAATATGCGAAATAATGTCGATTGTTTTTTTGTTTGTTTGTTTTTAGATATTTAAAAAAACAAACGACATAACATGAAATTCATTAGAAACTTATTGCCTAATTTTAGCGAGATCATGAATGCGCACTGCTGAGGAGTCTCACAATAGGACGAAATGGCCATCCACTGCTTCCATGTTTTCAATGGGGATCTACTTTCAATTGATTCATGATTTCAACTATTGTAATTTTAGCTTGTTCATCATGTAATCGTACTAATTATATTCATTTAAAAGTCATTTTTATTGATTAGCTGATATTTTTAGTCCATTATAAAAAAATACTACAAATTATATACTGTTTCTATGACAAGAAAAAGTAACAATTAACGATTTAATACAAGTGTTTTATATGCTACTTATATTGATAGATATAAGTAGTATACGATACGAATTGGAAGTGAAAACTAGGCAGGAGAAAAGCTATGAAGGTTGATTTGAATAAAATAGAAACGAAATTAGAAGGGGATTGTAAATTAAAAGAATCATACAAAATGTGAAGGACAAATGATGGAAATTTGTAAATGAAACATTCAAAGTACACTTCTCATATTTTATTAACAGATTATATAATTTTGTATTAAGGTACAATGAATTAATTTCTCGCTCGTAACATAATTAGTGGATATTTAGGTGAGAAAAATGAGTGAAATCATCTTCAGTAACAGAATCATATGAAATCTGTGATAGGATATTTAATGACATCGTTACATTTCCCTCACCCAATGTTATTGATATTTATTTCGATGATTCATTGCACAATTTCATTGAACAATTAAACTTAACCATTTCAATGCTAATATGTTCCAATAGTTGAGATCATGAGTCAATTGAAGGTGGATCATCACGGAAAACCTAGAAACACTGGACGGCCGTTTCGTCCTATTGTGGGACTCCTCCTTGGCAGTGCGCATCCGCGATCCCCCCGCGAGACTCGAATACAGGATCTATCAGTCTCGCGCGCGAGCACTTAAAGATTAGATCAATGAGCTGGCTGGCATTCAATGGTGTTAATGTCTAACTTCAACCAATCCACGAAGTTGCTCCACAGTGGATGCGTACTGGTGAGAAGTCCCATACTAGGACAAAACGGCCGTCCAGTGCTTCCAGGTTTTCCATGGTGGTTTAGCTTCAACTGACTCATGATTTCATCCAGTGAGATAACGTTTATTTTTTCTAAACTAATATGATTTATCAATTCGGCAAGTTTGTACTTGTTATATATTGAAAGTTGATTTCTCGATATACCGCGTATAACAGAGCACTAGAACACCAAACCCTTCCAAGTTGCAATAGGAAGACAGAAGACTAATGAAAGGAATATTATTCCAAACAGTGTCGATCATAGTACAAAATTGTCAGGTATTTATAGCTTTTAGTGAGAACGAAATCATCATTACAGTCCTCCAATACGCATACAGGGGGTTATTAGCATTATCCAATCGGGAAGCTACAGGTTTCCCATGGTGATCTAACTTCAAGTGACTCATGATTTCAACCAGTGAAATTTCTAAAAATCTCCACAAAACCCTTTCTGATAATAAACGTTATCATTAGTCTAAGGGTTATTTTTTATATGAAACTAAATTACCAAAGGCAATAACCATGAAAGTATATCAATAAAAATAAAAGCTAGCTGTTTATTATTCATAAATTAATTTGATTTTAATTGCTTCTATATAACCTAGCTTACTTCGATTGATAATGTCATCTTGTGTAGGAGTAGGAGTAAGCTGAAAGAAAACTAATGTTGGTCAAAACCAAAAACATGGAATCAGTTAATGAAGTCATTGACAATTGGATTGAGCCATGCTAGTAGGTGTAGACTAACTGATTGAACAAACAAGTCAACCATGAGAATCGTACAGTTGAACTGGTAAGTTATAAGGTAAGAACTATTAGTGTGTTACTTCACATCTCATTAATTGAAGTGCGTTTTATGAAAAATGTACTGCTATCATAACTACCATTGATATTGTTAGAGTTAGTTATTATCTCCAGTAAATAGAAAAAATTCTGAGACAGTTCAGACTACCCGGAGACTGGAAAGACACGATAATAAATCCGGTGTATAAGGCTGGGAGTAGAGATTTAGTTAGTAACTATAGACCCGTTATCTTAACTAGTGCGGTTGTAAAACTGATGGAAAAAATCATTCGGATATCTGTCATAAACTATGTTGAAGGACGTAATCTTTTTTCCAGGGAACAACATAGTTTTCGGAGAGGCCTATCATGCTTGAAAAATCTTCTCATTGCAAGAGAAAATTGGGCTGCGGCAAAAGATTGGAATATTCCTGTAAATGTAATCGTCATATATCTAAGTAAGGCCTTCGATAAAGTCTCCCACTCTGGTCTCACATTAAAACTGAAACGTTTTGGAATCCATTATACAGTAGTAGATTGGATAAGTAACTTTCGCCATGACAGGAGACAAAGGGTAAGGGTTAATGGACCTCTCTCCCCGTGGGTACCTGTAAAAAGTGGAGTTCCCCAAGGTACAATCCTCAGTCCTCTCCTCTTTTTACTTTATGTAAATGAATTACCAACTGTAGCAAAATCATGCGTTCTACCCATCGCTGATGACATAAAAATTTAGAAGTAAATTCTAATAATAGTGTGGTGATGCAATTAAATAACCATGATGAATCGTATCACTATACAATGTGTGGATTCGTGCTACCCAAAGTAAGAAACTATAAAGATTTAAGAGTCATATTAAGCAATGATCTTAAAACCACCAGTCACTGTTAGGCTGCTGCTGCGTAAGGCTATAGGGTATTATGGTCTATTCTTAGGTCTTTTCAGTATTTAGATGATGAGATGTTTAAATTATTATACCTGATTCATGTGCTACCACATTTAGAATATGGGATTCAAGCAGCAAGTCTTTGTTTTAAGTATGAAACAGATATGCTGGAAAGAGTCCAACGACGAGGTACTAAGATGGTAAAAGTTGTATCTGGCCTATCTTATGAAGACAGACTGAGACATTTTAACTTATTTCCGTTATCTTACCGTAGAATACGGGGTGACCTAATATTGGCTTATCGTATACTGAACGATGACCTTAATACTAATATGTCTTATCTTTTACTTCCGTCTAGGACTGATCATTTGAGAGGACATTCGAAGAAAGTTCAAAAACCGAAATCAGATCGTTTACGTCCGGAGTTTCGTTTCTCATACCGAGTAGTAAATTACTGGAATTCTCTACCGGAACACGTAATATCAGCACCTTCTGTTCATATATTCAAAACGAAATAGGACCTCCACAGTATTACAAACTGCAAGGATTAATATAGGTCGATAGACCTCCCATCCTTATTACTGAAGGCTGAAAACTAAAGACTATATATTTTTCATTCCCATGATTTATTTTATCATTATACTTATTTCACTTTGACACCCTGCTCTAAATATCTATGAATGGTCTTTTTAGCTTACAAGTGACACGTTTTTGAGATATTTGTCCTGTGACAGAATCAGAAATTCACTTTTTTAAAATTACACTATCTAACTCACTAGCATGATTTATTCTGGCTTCATACGACAACTATCAAACCTGTTTACAAAGTTAATAAATACAGTTGTTTGCTCTAATTTTCTTTGTTTTCAAGTTATCATAATCATGATATGACTGATCTACAAACGTGGAACATAATACTTATTTCGATATAAGTAGTATATAACGATAGTCATGAATATAATATCTGGCAATAGAAGCTCAAGAAGATCGAAAAGGAAAGAATGAGAACATAAAGCAATTAGTTTAAAAATGCGGGACGAATGAAGTCAACCAATTTTAGGACGAGTGATTGACAATTCGCAAATTAAGTATTTACTGTATCGTTCTTAAATTTTACTAAGAGATTTTGTAATTTTATATTTGAATACATCCAATTGCTACCAGAAGGCGTTTTCGGGAATGTTATGGTGATTTTAATAGTTGAGATCACGAGTCAACTAAACCTAGACCACTATGGAAAACCTGGAAGCAACCATTAGATACCGGCTCAGTAGTCTAGTGATTTAGCGATCACGCGCGAGACTGATAGGTCCTGAGTTTAAAATCTCACGAGGCAATGTCATGGATACTCACTATTGAGAAGTCCCACAATAGAACGAAACGGTCATTCATTGCTTCCAAGTTTCTCATAGTGGTCTAGCATCAATTCACTTATAATCTCAACTATTCAAAAAAAGACATTCGATTGTCTTCAATTGTGTTCTCGTTTACTAAACAAATACTACTGACATATTAATTTCAGTTTTCATATTTTCACTTGTTATACAACATGGAGTTTTGAGATGGTGAAGATTTGTAGCTCAGGTGGATGATTTTGATGAAGTTTTGTTCTCTGAGCTAAAGAGAGAAGAAAACTCCATCAAAAACATGGAGTTTTGTTGTAACCAACTGATAATATTGTTTCTACCATATAACTAATGAATATACATATAAAATAAACACTTACTCTTTCAGTTAATTTAATAATCCAATCAGGTGGAACAATTAAACATGAATATGGTCCTAATGAACATGGTTCAGTGAAATATGATTCACGAAAACAAGTTGATTTATTATGATAACCTATTTTACACCAAGTGCATTGAATCGTTATATATTCCTAATGAAATAAATTGAAAATAGATAAAAAGAAAAAAAGGTAAATTTTACAAATGAAAAATGAAAAAAAACAAATTTTGTAAGCAATGATGGATAGTGGCTAGCAATGGAATGTATGGATGCGCGTTTCGTTCTATTTGGGACTTGTCAGCTGGATGTACCTGCATATCAGAGTTGATGTTCACTCTGGGACTCGAACCCAGTACCATTGGCTTCAAATACCATCGCGTTATCCACTCATCTACTGAGTCCTGATAGCCACTTGCTTGTGCAATCGGGTGAATTTGAATTCACTTGGTATTGTTTGGCTTGTATCTTCTCATTGAGGCTTGAGACTGCAATTGATCAGTCTGCTAGCCAATATCCATCATTGCTTACAAATAGCTTGTGAATTAAGGTAATATCGAGGCTTACACACACTATGCACATATGCCAATAACAGACTGATCAATTGCAGTTTTAAACCTCAATGGGAACATACAAGTAAAATAATACCAAGTGAAAACAACTCTCGGTTTTTAAGTTTATATAATAACATAAACTTTTCAAATGCTGATGAGTCCCATATTAGGATGAATTGGCCGTGCAGTACTTTCAGGTTTTCTATGGTGGTCTAGCTTCAATTGACTAATGATTTCAACTATTGAAATGAGAAGATATAGATGAGGATTTGTAATTCAGGTATATACTATTGATATTGTTCAGTTCATTAGTTTAAATGACTTAATTAATAAGTTTCCACTGTTATTCTTAACAATTTTATCATTAATTAATTGATGTAAAAGTAAATTTTTTAGTTGTCTCAGAAATATCAAGTTAGTTTGTTGTAATGATGTATTTCGTGGCCGATTATCATCATAGTTTAGCTTACTTTCGATTGTTTTTTTAAAATCAAAGTAGATTACCCTGTTCCATCTGCCATTGACCATCATTTTGATTGATCTTTTCGAATGGTTTGTGTTGGGGACGATAGGTCCCCAAAACTCATATTTTGTGATTTTATCTTATCGATTAACTTATCGATTAAATGTTTAAATATTTGAATGGCAGCCAATTGATGAATCTATCGACTAAATCTTTAAATAGCAGTCAATTGACGAACTTATCGATTAAATATTTGAATGGCTGTCGATTGATGAACTTATTGATTAATGTTTAAAAAATTTTTTACCACGACAATATTGATTATAAATATTTGTATAAATACGCTTGACTTGTGTGCCTGATTGACCTGACGTGGTATCTGCTGGTTGCCTGTAGAATACACTTTTACGTTTTACCAAGACTTCTTGATCAAGTTAGCTGGGTCGGGGACAACGGACCAGAATAGCTTATCGAGTCTCTGAATCATTGATCCTTCGTTCCGTTCCGAATAAGCCGAATCAATAGTATCATTCAAGCTTAACGAACCTAACAATTTGATAGATTGAATCTAATTAAATGTATATACTGATTGCTAATTGATCCAGGTATTGTTTAGTCTAGTTGCATGATTTTGACGTCTTCTCAATTGAATTTATGTCTATAGTCATTTACATCACTTGCCATAGGTGATAACATATCGTGTTGTTTCACCAATATATTTTATTCGTATATGCGTAAATAAACAGTTAATCTACTTTGTCTAATGTAAAGTTTACCATAGTTCACATAAGTTTCTTTGTAGGCTATTTTACATTTGTCTTTCTTTATTGTTGTGTCTTTTAGTCAAATTTAAAATTTATAAACAAAATTGACTCCAGAAGGTTTTGAAGTTAACGAGTTGGGTCCTGAAATATTAAGTAAGATTATCTGTTTTCCTATTTCTGAGGTTGGTTTTGCGATTTTTGGTAGATTCGGAAAAAAAACTTTGATTAACTCGTTGGAGCAATTATATCTACGAAAGATAGATACAAGATGAGTTTCTTAAACATTGATGCATAGCTAGGGCATTACAATGTATTTATTTGAATTACATTGGCATATAACTCTTCATGTGTATTTCTGGGTTGTTATTGTTATAATTGAATATGTCAGTTAATTGCACAACTTATTTAGAAGAGTTTGTGAAAAATTCACTTTTCACTGTATAAGTTAGGAAAGAGAATAATCAGAGACATTGTGATTACTGGCAATATACATCGAAATGAATGTATATTATTCAGATGCCGATTCTTGTACTGTTAACGTCTAACTGGCAATCACTCAATATTTATCATCAAGATCGACTATGAAGTAAGAAAAGGAAACTTGTTGAAATACTTTGCGCTGAGAATTTTATATTGTATCAAAACTATACTATTGAATAAAGCCAATAATAATAATAAATAATTAATGGATAGAAATCACAAATCTAAAACATCCCAACTATCATATTACAAGACTAATCTTCTTACACAATCTTTCATTGCTGATCGTACGAAAGAATAATCTAAAATAACAGGTATACTGATCATTTTATGACAAAGTATTTGTGAATGAAAGTCATAGTATCTTATTCATTGAAAGATTGAAAATCTGAGTCAATTTCGAAACAGGAAAAAATTTCAATGATTGAGATCATGAGTCAATTAAAGCTAGACCACCATAGAATACCTGAAAGCAATAGAACGGTCACTTCGTCCTATTGTAGGACTCCTCAGCAGTGCCCAATCACGACCCCGACCCCCGCGTGATTCGAACCCATGCTCTACAAGTCTCACGCGCGAGCGCTCAACTTTTAGGCCACCGAGCCACGAAACTGAGCGACACATCGACCATATTTATTTGTTTGTTTTTTTACAAACTATTTTCAGATGATAAACAACATCAAAGATAATATTACTCACTTTAGAAGAAAATCCCAGTATTGATTGTAAAGACTAAAAAACAAATCAATATAAAGTAGAATGGTATCAAAGTCAATAATAGAAAACAATCTATTCATTATTATCATTATTACTATTCTTAAAGTAAAAAAGTAATACTCTGTAATAAGAATTTTGTTTATATTCCCTTTTGTCTATCTTAACATTTTGGATATGGTTTTGAGAAACATACACATACATACATACATACATACATACATACATACATACATACACAATTCAAATGACAATGGTACCATAATTAATAATAATAACAACAACCAACAACAACAACAACGCCAGTATTGAAAACAAACCAAACAAACAAGCCAAAACGGGATAAACAGCGGTTAAAAACCGAAAACAAACGCATTCAACGCATTCTTCACCAATATAGAAATGTATACATACATCAAACTAGATAGGTATGTTTTTTATAAAGAAATAAGACAATTTAATTTCTATCTTAAAAAAGAAAAATCAAGTGCTTTCGTTCTTTTTTCCAATTTATTTCACGATTAATCTATTACGTAATCAAGCAATAAATACTTGAATCAATGACGTTTTATAATGTAAAACAGTGCAGTATAGTGTATTTTATTGAAATGATGTATATAGATAAACATTTAATGACTAATGGTAAACTGTGCATTTATGTATTTCTCTATCATTCTGACAACCAAAGCAACCATTTATTTAGGTACATAGAATGTTCATACAATGTGGAAGACCGGACGAGTCTTCCAAATTGTAGAATTGCTGCTATCCGTCTAAATGAATAAACCACATTATCGCAAGGATTAGAAACTAATAAAATGCGCAAAAAAAGGAAACAAAATGATGTAGTAACAATAATAATGAGAAAGACTGTGGTTCATAACCGATAGAATGAATAAGGCATCTAGGAAGGACTATTGGAACTCAAAGTCTTAAGAAAGAGTGACACCATGTGAACCATTGTGAAAAATCTTAAAAAGTTTGTTAACTGAAGTCTCCAACTACCCAAACAGATAATCTACATCTATCAACATAGTCAAGACCAGCAGTCACTGACTTCCTAGACTGATGATATGTGCTAATTTGAACGTCTCAAGTTTTATTTCAACCTAAATTAACAAACATCACCCATCGAGGTAAGCGATGGTTTGATAAATACATAGCTCCACCCCCAACATACTTCCTAACCATGTTCTAAAGTCTGTCTTATCAAATTACATATTTCGAAAGAGCACAGAATAAATATAAATTTGAAGATCTATAATCATATTGTCGTGTGTACTACTAATGTTCACAGATATAAGTAGTATACAACACCAATCAGATATGGAATAGTTAGCAACAGAAGCTTGAGAAAATTGGATCAATGAGAACAGGAACAGAAAGTAAATGTTATGGAAATAAATGAACAATGATCATTCAGACAATTGATTAAAGATTTTCAAATAAAGCATTGAATGTATGGTTTTCATGTTTTACCAAAGAACTCTATGATTTTGCATAGATATACATTGGTTGTTCCCGCTTGTGTTCTCGTTTATAGCAATGAGAAAGATTCCGTTAGACAGCAATTTAGTAGAATGGTCAAATTTCTATCTTTAAATCAACAGACTATTTGTATTCACAATGATATTCTGAATCATTTCAGCTTTGAAACTTGTTTTTAAATAATCAGTAATGAATAAAATAAACAATGATAAATTAATAACAATAATAAATAGAAGAAATTGAAACAAAAAAAAACACAACAAAAATCATACCTTTCCACAATGGTTACATTTTTTATTCTGTTTTCGCCGTTTAACCCAATGATGTGTTGTATACTTCACGAGGATAATAAAACATAAAAAGAAAATTTAACGGTAATTAATTTGAACGGTATATATATATATTAGACAGAGATAGATAGATAGATAGATAGATAGATAGATAGATAGATAGATAGATAGATAGATAGATAGATAGATAGATAGATAGATAGATAGATAGATAGATAGATAGATAGATAGATAGATAGATAGATAGATAGATAGATAGATAGATAGATAGATAGATAGATAGATAGATAGATAGATAGATAGATAGATAGATAGATAGATAGATAGATAGATAGATAGATAGATAGATAGATAGATAGATAGATAGATAGATAGATAGATAGATAGATAGATAGATAGATAGATAGATAGATAGATAGATAGATAGATAGATAGATAGATAGATAGATAGATAGATAGATAGATAGATAGATAGATAGATAGATAGATAGATAGATAGATAGATAGATAGATAGATAGATAGATAGATAGATAGATAGATAGATAGATAGATAGATAGATAGATAGATAGATAGATAGATAGATAGATAGATAGATAGATAGATAGATAGATAGATAGATAGATAGATAGATAGATAGATAGATAGATAGATAGATAGATAGATAGATAGATAGATAGATAGATAGATAGATAGATAGATAGATAGATAGATAGATAGATAGATAGATAGATAGATAGATAGATAGATAGATAGATAGATAGATAGATAGATAGATAGATAGATAGATAGATAGATAGATAGATAGATAGATAGATAGATAGATAGATAGATAGATAGATAGATAGATAGATAGATAGATAGATAGATAGATAGATAGATAGATAGATAGATAGATAGATAGATAGATAGATAGATAGATAGATAGATAGATAGATAGATAGATAGATAGATAGATAGATAGATAGATAGATAGATAGATAGATAGATAGATAGATAGATAGATAGATAGATAGATAGATAGATAGATAGATAGATAGATAGATAGATAGATAGATAGATAGATAGATAGATAGATAGATAGATAGATAGATAGATAGATAGATAGATAGATAGATAGATAGATAGATAGATAGATAGATAGATAGATAGATAGATAGATAGATAGATAGATAGATAGATAGATAGATAGATAGATAGATAGATAGATAGATAGATAGATAGATAGATAGATAGATAGATAGATAGATAGATAGATAGATAGATAGATAGATAGATAGATAGATAGATAGATAGATAGATAGATAGATAGATAGATAGATAGATAGATAGATAGATAGATAGATAGATAGATAGATAGATAGATAGATAGATAGATAGATAGATAGATAGATAGATAGATAGATAGATAGATAGATAGATAGATAGATAGATAGATAGATAGATAGATAGATAGATAGATAGATAGATAGATAGATAGATAGATAGATAGATAGATAGATAGATAGATAGATAGATAGATAGATAGATAGATAGATAGATAGATAGATAGATAGATAGATAGATAGATAGATAGATAGATAGATAGATAGATAGATAGATAGATAGATAGATAGATAGATAGATAGATAGATAGATAGATAGATAGATAGATAGATAGATAGATAGATAGATAGATAGATAGATAGATAGATAGATAGATAGATAGATAGATAGATAGATAGATAGATAGATAGATAGATAGATAGATAGATAGATAGATAGATAGATAGATAGATAGATAGATAGATAGATAGATAGATAGATAGATAGATAGATAGATAGATAGATAGATAGATAGATAGATAGATAGATAGATAGATAGATAGATAGATAGATAGATAGATAGATAGATAGATAGATAGATAGATAGATAGATAGATAGATAGATAGATAGATAGATAGATAGATAGATAGATAGATAGATAGATAGATAGATAGATAGATAGATAGATAGATAGATAGATAGATAGATAGATAGATAGATAGATAGATAGATAGATAGATAGATAGATAGATAGATAGATAGATAGATAGATAGATAGATAGATAGATAGATAGATAGATAGATAGATAGATAGATAGATAGATAGATAGATAGATAGATAGATAGATAGATAGATAGATAGATAGATAGATAGATAGATAGATAGATAGATAGATAGATAGATAGATAGATAGATAGATAGATAGATAGATAGATAGATAGATAGATAGATAGATAGATAGATAGATAGATAGATAGATAGATAGATAGATAGATAGATAGATAGATAGATGGATATTATTTACGCCTTATTAAGGTAATATTGGGTTTATACATAAAAAAAGACGAATAAACAAATTAACACTGAATTGGTCAAAGATTGCTGTCCTTAAAGGTTAAATGAATAATTGCAAAGCAAATTATCAGCGTAAATGAAGAATTAGACAACAACAAGAACATTAAACATTGTTAGCTTTAAACCTATTTAGTTATTGTTTACTTAAATGAACTGTAATTATGTTAAAATCTATTTGAAGTCTAATGTTCACTTTGATAAATCAATCAAATACTTACTTAAACAAATGATTTAAAGTTGAAAGATAATTAGTTTAATTATGATTGAATAGAAGAATTGTGGAATATAGTGTAATGCCTCATTTTAGGGGGGATATAAAAATAACATGTATATTAATAATTGATTTCATGAGTCAATTAAAGTTAGACCGCCATGGAAAACCTGGAAGCATTGAACGGCTGTTTCGTCCTATTGTAGGACTCCTCAGTAGTGCGCATCCACGATCCCGCACCCGCGAGATGCGAGCTCAGGACCTATCAGTCTCGCGCCAGGCGCTTAACCAACTAGACCATTGAGCCAGCATCTAATGGTGTTAATGTCTAACTTCAACTAATCCACGAAATTGAGCAACACATCCACCATTGTCTTAAGTGAGTTACTATCTCACGATAGACCCGGTTGAATCCTATTGGTCACAGCTTTTCACTGAACACCATAAAATAATTCTTGGAGACAGTCACTAGTGCGCATATGACGAATATAATCAGAGATGGATTTTGTGGAGATTGTAGTACATTATTAATTGAATTCATGAAACAATTGAAGCTAGAGGAGTCCCATACTAAGATGAAATGGCCGTCTAGTGCTTCCAGCTTTTCTATGGTGGTCTGGCTTCAATTTACTCATGAATGCAATTATTAAATGACTAAAATCTCCACAAAACCCCTCTCCGATTATAATCGTCATAGTATGTATTTGTTGGAATCCTCCAAAAAGATCTCATTAACGTCTCCAGAAATGCAGAAAATGTTAAGAATTTTTTATTCTATTAACATTGTAAAACATTTCTCAGAAATATCCAAAGTAATGAATGATTATACGTCAAATCATAACTGGATAATTACATATTTGTTGCTAAGATTAACATATTTCCAGAAGCTTCTACATGATTAAGACCATTTGTAATCCTACAAATAAGTTTATTTTGTGTGCATAAATTATGCTTCAAGTAAGGTTTCCATTCCTATTCCTCAAGTTTTCTTTAATATTCGGTTCATATATAGGAATGGCGTGGGGGTATAGACAGTGGGTAAGCAATCAGTATAAAGGGTTCAAGTAGAGGTATATTTTAGAATTCAAAATTACACACGGAATTGAATTCAAAACCTACTGGCTACATAGTATTCATGTTATCTTTAGATCACCAAATTTAATGTTGATGATCCAAATTTTTAATTTTAGACAATTTCCAAGATAGATCGAAGATTATTCAATAGAATGGCTGATAAATATTTTATTTCGAATAATGATGATCTCTATGAACTACAGTAAGTCAATGAAACTTCAAGATTACATTTCAAACCTAGCAACTGCTGAATAAACTAATATAATTGAAAAGTTATTATTATTATTCTATGAAGCAACAAGATATCAATCATTAATAATATTTACTCTGACTTTATTATCTCATAAATCTGTGTCTATTTTGATCTGTATGCAACCTAAAACCCATTTTTATGGAGATAAATATTACTCAGGTGATAGTTATTGAGATATAATACTTAAGTATGCAATATATTTTGATATCTTCCTTGCGCGAGAGATCGATAGGTCATGGGTTCGAATCTCACGGGAAGGTGAGATCGTGGATGTGCACTACTGAAGAGTCCCATAATAGGACGAAATGGCTATTCAAAGCTTCCAGGTTTTCAATGGTGGTCTAACATTAATCGGTTCATGATCTCAATCGAAAACTTAACAATCTTCACCAGCACTATATTGACAAAATAGTACATTTGTGATTGATTTTCAGTTCGAATTAATCACATTTACGACAACAATAACAATAGTAGATAAAGAGATTAAGTGTTACTGTTTGAATGAGAATATGCTAACTACTAATTTTTATAAGAATAACATTCAATTTTTATCATTGAAATATACTATAAATTCAATCACAATGTTCACCATACAAATGTAATGATGATGTAAACAAAATAGGAATAATAATCTTGATAAACATAATTTGTTTAAACGATTAATGCCAACATAATTTATCAAGTCAATAAACTTTATAACTAGAATGTATTTTATCAGAATTGGGTTTGTGGAGATTTTTAGAAATTTTCACAGATTGAAATCATGAGTCAGTTGAAGCTAGACCACCATTGAAAACCTGAAAGCACTGGACGGATGTTTCGTCCTATATGGGACTCCCCAGCAGTGCATATCCACGATCCCGCACCACGCGGGGCTGGAATCCAGGACCTACTGGCTTCGCGCACGAGCACTTGACCATTAGAATGTATTTGACAATTGTACTATTATAGCTGATAAGTCATTGTGTTGTTTATGAATGAAAGTTTTTTTTCATGAAAAAGGTAATTGATAATATATTGATTGTTTGTTTGTTTGTTTTATTATTTAATAAACACTTGAAATAGTTTGTTTTCATTTCATCTCTTGTAAGAATGGATGTTTACATTATGCATACTGTTGTGATGGGTAGTGTCAAAAATTTGATTTTGATACCATGATGTGCTATACGCTAACTACCATCCCCACTCAATTGACTAATTGAGTGAGAAAACAAGAGTGAGCGAGAAAGTATATTGGGCTAACGAATAAAATAAACAAATTCATAATATGTACCACTCTAATCCTTAGAAAATTGATCGATTTGTTAGTTTATGAAATGTAATTGTCATTTAGGTCAGTTCTAAACAATTGACCTTCTGATTAACTCTCCATATTAATTAGCAATAATTCATTAGTGTACAATTCAGTAATTTATTGACAAAGTATATATGTGATCAGATTGTTCAAAATCTTTCTTCAGATTAACTTCATCTTCTCATTCTTCTATCGAAATTTATCAAAGAAATTAATAACCTTAAATTCATTCATAGCTGTGAGTGGGAAATTTAAGGCTGATATCGAAAAGTTATAAATGCTTAAGCAAATATTTATTTATATATTTATATGAATACATAATGTAAACAGAAACTAGTTTTATATTTGAATGATCACTGGGTGGTGATCAATGTCATGTGTCTCAAGTCCTTATTTAGTGCAGATCGAATATTATCGACCAAGTTGCAATGTAGCCACTAGTCTAGGTGATTCGACATTGAGTGCACTATGTTGAGATAAGATAGTGGTTGAAGGTAGTCAACTTGGAAACCCTGGACCTAGTTTCTATGATGCATAAAAGTCTTTTCTATGTAGTTCTTCACCGTGTTAGTGTATCCTGTGAAGAATACACGTCAAGTTAAAAAAAGAACTGACATGAGAATGATTGATGTTATTGTAAATACTATGGAAATGGGTAACATGTAAACAGGTAAAAATAAGTTTGATTGAAATCATGAGTCACTCGAAGCTAGACCACCATGGAAAATCTAGAAACATTGGATAGCCGTTTTGTCCCATTGTAGGACTCATCAGCGTTCCGCATCCACGATCCCGCAACCCGCGAGATTCGAACCTGGATCTACCAGTCTCGCGCCAGGCGTTTAACCAACTAGACCACTGAGCCGGCGTCCAGTAGTGCTAATGTCTAACCTCAACCAATTCACGAAATTGCTCGACCATCTTCCATTGTAGACACCTGTTTCTACCCAACACGGATTAGCTCCATTGGTCACGTCCGTCCAGTGCTTCCACGTTTTCCATGGTAGTCTAGCTTCAATTGACTCATGATTTCAATCAAAAACTTAACAATCTTCGCAAAACATAAACTGAAAAATAATTTTGATGATTCATGAATGAGATTTTAAATTGGTTACTGTTTAAATAAATCACTAATCTCAATTCAATGGTACATATGAAGTTTAAAGAAGCGATACAAAGAATAATGTACATAGTGATCTTGATTATTATCTAAGATGTAGATTGTCTAAAATATCACTTGAATAACTTTATAAACTTAATATTGTATCAATATAACTTATATATGTAATATAATTCATGATAATAATAAAATAAGGATACTTTGATTAAGTTCTAATTTTTGATTATTGAAATATTACAAATATATCAATGCAATTTATTATTAGCAATCAACGTATATCTTAATTTATGTGAACTTATCATACTGGGGATTTGTAGAAATTGTGGTATATTAACAGTTGAATTCACAGGTCAATCTAAGCTAAATCACCATTAAAAACCTCGAAGTATTGGACAGAAGTTTCATAATAGTATGGGACCATTCATCAGTGAGAATACACAATCACGCACACAACATTTCAAAAACATGACCTTTGGTATCGTCGGTGAATGCTTAATCTCTAGACCAGTAACCTGTTATCCAACTGTGTTAATGTGTAACTTTAATCAATCCATGATCTCACATAACGCTTCGTTCATTGTCTGAGGTGGATAACTGTCTCCATCCGACAAGGATTGGACTCTTTGAATCTGTTGAAATTAGACACTAACATCGTTGAATGCACGAAGCCGAAGGTCGTGGGTTCGAGGCCCATGTGAGTGACTGTAGATGAGCAATTTTAAGGAGTACCATCGTATTACAAAACGACCGTCCAATACTTCTAGGTCTTCAATGGTGTTCTAGCTTAGGTCGATTCGTGAATTCAATGGGTAAACTTATCTGCAATTATCGAGTTAACTATTGATTGTTATAATTCATAATTAATGATAGTCTTGAAAAGATTTCTTGATGTCCTACTATACGGAAAAGGGTTATTTTTATATCAAGCATAGAGTTGATAATACAGCTTTGCACTTATTTTTCACTTAATATACTGAACGTATGAGAGAACTCAATAAATTGGGCCATTATCAATAGAAAATACAAAAAAAACAATCATTTTTCCGGATGACGTCTGGTTCTCCTGAAAAACAATGTGAAATTACTCTGGCCCACAAGGGTATATTATATAACTGAGAATAATTTTTTTCTGTTTTAAATTACAGCATCTAGACAAAAGCCCATATTATTATTTATTTGCCTGTTAAAGTCTCGAAACGAAATCCAAGTATAAACGGATACAATCTGATTGTTAATGCGCTTGAAATCCATGTTTCTAATTATCCAGTTATTTATAAGTTAATTTGAAAGAGAGATTGATATGTAGGAATATGTGAAGATTGTAGAATTCGCTTAGATTAAATAAAGAAATGATCTCAGTTGAATCATTATTAACAAATCATAATCAATTGGGTTCAAAAATGATTGATATAAGACAATTATTCAACTGAGGTAATGGACAAAGATTGTCCAATATTGTGAATTGACTGAAATAAGACATGTACAAGGCTTTATCCCGATTCATAGCTGTACAAGTCAAGCGTTTGCGTGAGACTGAAATTTCTAGATTTGATCCCCTGAGATATATTCGTAGATGCACACTTCCAAGGACTATCCTACTAGGACAAAACTGAAGTATACTGCGTCCGGTCTTTTTTTCAGTTGTTGACTAGTTAAGATCAGTTCATGATTTAAACGATGGACGTTTTGCTATTTTCATATATATATATAGGTTCATTCGTTTAAAACTGTTTTTCTCAAGAATTAAGATCAATTCAGAAAATGGGAAACGTATCACTGATGATACAGATTGGTTTTTGTGTTATGATTTAAACCTAATGTTTTCTGAATTGAGCCTAAATGTTCTTTGCTAATTCTGTGCAGTAGTAGTAGTAGAGGTTGAGAATTGCCTAGTAGCCCCAAAACTAGATACTTATTCTGTGTTCTCTGCTTTTCAACAATTACCAAGCTGATTCCGACAAATAACCAGTAAAACGTTTTTCAGAAAATATGGCTTGAACGAAAAAAAATTCATTTCCATTGACTCCTGATTAAAACCTGGCAGCAATATATAGTTTTACCTATGAATATGCAATCAAGACCAGTATGAGGCTAGTGAATGTACTAACTCATTACTAAAAATAATAAACTGGTAAAAAAAACTCGGTTGACTGATAAAACATAGTAAACTCCATGTAACTAGCTCAAGATTTCCACATGACATCTCTTAACCATATTAGAAAGCTTTAAAATACATAAATATATCCAGGAAACAATTATACTGCTTTTCTCTTTATTTCTCTCTTCTCTGATTATTTAGCTCACGTTATCAAATTTTTAAAAAATCTTTTTATATAATCATTCAGAATAGTTCAGAGATTATGTTAATAGTTTAAATCAAGAGCCAATTGAAGCTAGACCGCCATGGAAAACCTGGAAGCACTGGACAACCGGTTCGTCCCTGTATGGGACTCCTCAGCAGTGTGCATTCACAATCCCGCCTCACGAGATTCGAACCCATGATCTATCAGTCTCGCACGCGAGCGCTTAACCATTAGACCACTGAGTCGGCTGGCATCCATTATTCTTAATGTTTAACTTCAACCAATCCACGAAATTGAACTACCGTACACCATTGTCTTCAGTGTGCTGATATCTCACAACAGACCTGATTGAACTCCACTGATCACGGCTTCTCACTAGAACTCCAGGAAACGCCTCTTGAAATCAGTTACTAGTGAGCAGATGATTATAATCAGAGTGGATGACTTGTTTAAAATGATGATCACATCTATTTATTCTCTATTCCCATTATTAGATATACTATTAAGACTGATTTCCATAGTGGACTAATCTCTATGTTTGAGATGAGAAATATATAATGAAAAAAAAAGATATAATTACTCACAGTTTTTTCTGTTCGATAATCATGAATAAATGCTTCACGAAACGTTGGTCTACATGATACCTGAACCTGTAAAGAAAATACAAGTAAAGAATGAAGTTATATAAAGAATAAAGAAGTTTATAATATTAGATGACAAGACTGACTTAGGTCAAGTTAACGTGACTGGAAAAAAAAGGATCTTTTTGACCATGTTGAAATGTACAATTCTCTTTAGGTCCACTTATATTATAACTAATATATTAATGAGTATATTATATAATAAAGAATTGTATGTAAATTGTATGTAGGTCATCTAGAGTTACTACAGGGTCCCAAGTTCGGGTAAATGAAGAGGGTTGAGCATATCAGGTTGACAATTTCATCCTGTAGAAAATAATCTTGACAAAAAATACCACAAACCAGATTAGATAAATTAAACCATTAACAACTGCATTCATAGATATAATGAATGGTGATATGATATTATCGAGTTATTTTAATATTTCAAAATTTAATCAAAAGTGTCACGGAAACATTAAAACAAAATGTATTCATACAAAAAATGTTTAAAAAACGGACATTTATATATATACATTCTCTTTTTCCTGCTGACCGACTGGATTATGAAGACGCCAACATCTGAGGGGAAGCATGGGATGAAGTGGACTGCTAAAATGCAGCTGGACGATCGCTAGATTTCGTAGATGATCTGGCCGTTCTATCACACAAGCAACAACAAATGAAACAGAAGACGACCAGTGTAGTGATAGCCTCAACAGCAGTAGATCTTAAAAATACATAAAGAGAAAAGGCAAGATTCTCTGATACAACACAACATGCGCCAATCAAATCAAACTTGAGGGAGAAGATTTGGAAGATGTAGAAAAATTAACATATCAGGACAGTATCATTGATGAACACGGTGGATCTGATGTAGATGTGAAGGCGCGGATCAGTAAAGCAAGAGCAGTATATTTCCAACTGAAGAACATCTGGAACTCAAAACAGCAGTCTGTCAACCAACGCCAAAGTCATAATTTCAATACAAATGTCAAGACAGTTCTACTGTATGGAGTGGAAAACTGGAGAACTACGAAAGCCATGCAAAATAGCTATGCAAAATACTTTGGATCCGTTGGATAGACACTATCAGCAACAACCTAGTGTAGGAGAGAACAAATGAGATTCCAGTGGAGGAAGAAATCAGGGAGAAACGCCGTAAGTGGATAGGACGCACAGTGAGGAAAGCACCCAACTACATCACAATGAAAGATCTGACTTGGAATCCTCAAGGACAAAGGAGAAGTAGAAGACCAAAGAATACATTACACTGAGAAATGGAGACAGATATTGAAAGAATGAACAATATTTGTATAGAACTAGAGAGGAAGGCCTAGGACAGAGTGGGTTGGAGATTGATGGTTGGTGGCCTATACTCCATTAGGAGTAACAGGCGTAAGTAATTTTTATATTTAACGATAAACGTTATAGGAATATTATGAAATGTTAGATAACTAGTGATAATCAGTAAGAAATTGTATATCTATTTTTCATGCTATTTAGCAATTGTCAACGAAGTGTACTTATAATCTTTAAGAACTAAACAAACATAACATTGGTCATTGACTAATAAAGTGTATATAAATATATATCAGTAGGATGTGAGCTAGATTTCCCCCATAGCAATCAATAGTGTTTGCCAACTATCACAAATCGATTGAGATTAGGCAAGTGCATAACTGAATGTAAACCCAGTAGTTTGAAACTTAACTTCTCACTGAGAGAATTAAAGGCTTTTGGCCAGATTCCCGATAAGCCCTGGTAATGCCGAGAGTGAGGAGAGTCAGCTCACTCTCTCGAAATGCTCTCACATCACCACGCGTATACAGCCACTACCAAGGAAGTCCTACTCACTGGCTTCTTACAAAGTGGGTGTTATTTACGAACTTCAGAGGATGAAAAGCGAGCGCTTTAACCGGGTTGATGGATATGGAAGATACACTTAAGTTAGTTGGAAAACCATGATTCCAAACTAATGGTTCATATGGGCTCCAGAATCCTAAAAGAAAAAATGATGTTTGAACCAATCATTAGTCACTGGCTACCATGGGACTGCATCTCCTTACGATGCTCCCACTGCCTTGTGGAACAGACCTTCAGGTCAAAGGCTCCGGGTGTGACTCCCTAAGAAAACCACCTGCTTCAGTTTGGGCACCCGGGCAGTATCATAGACCAGACACAAATCAAATGATTTATGTGGCGCATATATATTCGATGCCCCTTCGTATAAATATTTATATGTTCAAATAAATAACAATTAAGTAAGATTCCCTGTAGATTCATTGTAGTATACTTTAAAGGAGTCATACAATAGACTAGTATTTCCCATATTTCATTGATTATCTAACTCAGTTTATTTTATAATAGTAACTATGACAATGTGTAATTACTAAGGTACATATTTCTTTTTCAAAATTTCACAGCATTATTTTTTTTCTTTTTTCCATTTTTATTTTGAATGAACAATTAACGTTTGCCATTTTAATTGCATCTACATAATTTAAATGTTTGTTAATGATGTAAAAAATTTTTTAAAAATAATTCACAAATTTATTACATAATGTAATTAAGTTTTAATTAAATTTTTTTTTCATAGACAATAAAGTGAATTGTTTATTTCATTTGGGTTTTTTTTTTAATAATGGTCATTATGAAAAATGCTAGTAATATTTAATCAGTCAGTCAACTATAACATTAAGACCAGGCACAAATATGAATCGGTCCAAGTTACCACACTTTACTCATTAGTACAACAAGATGAACACCAAGTTCATACAAGTAGTTAAGTCAGTGGTGGTAATATATAAAAGAAAGATTGCATATAAGGTGATAGTATAGGAAGAAAGAATTAGTTCGTAGAAAGAAAGATGTGAATCGATTTTAATCCCATTGTTTAAGGGAAGACAGAGAGCGTATACACCTACACGATTGTGATCGATTCTGAGCCATGTCACTCAGAATTTCCGACTATTGATTACGATAGTCACAAGGACCCCAACCAAGTAGTATGCATCTACCAACATGGCTCAGACTAGAACTTGGTGACTTCAAGGACTGGTGCCATGTTTTGGTTTGGCCGCCCATAACTGCTAGTAACATTAGAATTAAATGGAAAATATAATCATGTTTCTTAGATTTTGAAAATATAATAATTAAAAAACTACAAATAAAAAAAAGTTTTTTTTAATAGTTGAGATCATCAGTCAGTTGAAGCTAGACCACTATTGAAAACCTGGGAGCACTAGACGGCCTTTTCTTCCCATTGTGAGACTCCTCAACAGTGCGCATCCACGATCCTGCCTCATGAAATTCAAACTCAGTCTCCAGTGCAAACACCTAACCTCTAAACTACTGAGCCGGCCAGCACCTATTGATGTTAGTGTCTAACTTCAATCGATTCAGAAAGTCCAACCCGTGTCGGGTGGAGACAGTTATCCACCTCAGATAATGGATGAAAGGTTGTGAGAGATCATGGATAGACTAAAGCTAAACATTAACGCTGTTGGATGCCTACTTACTCGTCTAGAGATGAAGAGCTTTTTGAAGAAACTGAATGTTATTTTTTTGAATGCCGTGTGTGGAATCATGTATGCGCACCGCTGAGGGGTCCCACAATAAGACGAAACAGTCATTCAATGTTTGGGGGATTTCAATGATTATTTAGCTTAGATTGACTAATGAATACACCTGTTAAAATTATTACACTCTCCACAAACCCCCATTCTGACCATTATATTTAACTAGGAAAGATTATAAGTACATTAGTTAAATTATGTCATTCGAAAGCTAAGATTACTATTGATTAATTAGCTTTAAGTTTGGTTAAGGTAAAAAAAAGCAGTTGAAGATATTTCTTTTGTATACATAGCTCTAATTTCTTAATCCGAATAGCTACTGTTACCATCCTTCAAAAATGCTTTAATTCTTACAAAGAGAGACTAACAGACAAAGCCATACATATATGAGCTAAACGAAATAGTATTAATAGAAGTGATGGAATACAACTAGCTGTTCCATGGCAACTAATAATTAATAAGTAAACCTGAACTCCTTATTCCATTTTATCTATCTTGTATTATCTAAATAACAGATATTACATTTAACGGTCCAAATCAGTTATCTTATGTGAATATGTTAAACAACTAACTGGAACATTAAAATCAAACAAACTTTCAATTACAAATACATTCTTCTTCTTTGAATTCATTCCTTTATCTTGTTTACTCATCTTCGTTTTATGCATGCTATGACATATTTGTATCACATGTCTCTTACACAATAATACAAATACCTACTTTAAACATTGAATAACCTATTCAGTATACAATGAACCGAAGAACCATGTACCTATTTATATTCGATAATTTTGTTGTTTGATTATATTTTCCTTGAAAAAGCTTAGACCAGATTGTCAGGCGACCCATTGGATTTACTTCAAATTTATTCATTGAGATTTCACAAATATATTCTTCCTCTTTATATAATATACGTTAAGAAATTCTCTTTATAACCCTATTAACTAATAACATCAAAAACAATTCATGAGATATTAGATCTCTTACACTTGTGAATACACTACAACTTATTCAATAGAATTCAATCAATATCACGGACTAAACAAACCACAGAATGGATACCACTCACAGGTGAAATCCGTTTATAAATAAGTTTATCTGACTGTTTAAAATGTATTCGCTTACCAATGGAAGACAATTTACATGACAAACAATATGACAAACAGAGCATTTCCTTTTCGCTCCAGATTTCTATACAAGAAAAATACGAACAATATATATAAAGAAAACGGAATTAATTATACTGATAAATTACAGAAAGTAACTAAATAAATCATTATGTATCTATTATTTCTCATATATAATAGGTCATTCACCTCACTGCACAAGCAAGTGACTATCAGGATTCAGTAGCTAAGTGGAGAACGCGATGGCGTTTGATGCAAACGGTACTCAGTTAGAGTCCCGGAGTGAATACCAACTCTGAGATGCCAGGTGCATCCAGATGACGAGTCCCAAATATGAAGAAACATGCGCGTCCATGCATTCCACTGCTAGCCACTATTCATCTTTGCTTATACAAATTTAGTCCTAAAAGTAAAATTTTTAACAAGTAACTGATAACTGAATGAATATTTATTCAAACGGAATGTCTTCTACTCGGACGTTTGTTACTGATTAACTATCTGTTATAGTATCTCTAGATTACACCTACATTTGAACTTGAATAGTAAAGAAAACGTGCAAATTAAGAATGGAATCTTTATCTTAAGATGCTTAAAACAACAACATTAACTATAGGTTTATTGATAATCATTAAACTTTGGAAACTGAAAATATGTTAAGCTACGTAACAGAGTAGATAATGATCCAATCGGTGAATGACAATATAATCTGTTTACATTGTGTACACTGATTGATCAAAATGCTTTCAGCCACCTTTTGGCTTCTGAAGATCAATTTAAAGAATTCTTGTGGAGTACAAATAAACGTAAGTGATGAAGTGATGTTACAATATGTTGCAGATGAATGGATCATCGAATAAATACCCGATATAAAATATTGACAATATTCAACAATAATCAAAAGATTCACTAAAAGTAGAAGATAGGAATAATAAATTTGCCTAGCTTACTACACTGTCTAATGGCTCTTTTAAATAATCCCACTTTTTAAAACAACCAAATGATTGGACTAGCTATCGGATGAAATGATGTTTAAAGTACTGTGTAGTGTAACCTATCAACGTTAAATATCAATTATTTACCTGTTTTTAGAGCACGTTCAACCTTCATATAGTCTACAGCATTAAACTGAATAGTTTCGAAGATATTAGTAGACGAGGTTTATGTAGACTGTTGAATTCAATAGTTTACACATATATATAACTGACGTCAGTTAGACATTTATTAAAAATGAGGAAGCACTAGAGAGACGTTCTACCATAGTATCGGATGCCTCAGGAGCACACATTCAAGACCACAGTGAGACCTAAGTAAGCTACATATTTTTCAAACTGTTTTCTGTGGAATAATGTCACATTTTATGCAGAAGAACTACATAACACAAGGAATCAATAAGTAATTGTTTCCTTCTGTCTCTTCACTCTTGGTTAATGTTCAACCATGACACACACCTAACGATTGATACAATCAGAAAACTGCTTTATATTCCGTTTTTGGTTAATCCTTAAAGTAAAGGTACAAACAAGTCATGAGTACGATAAAAACTCATTTATAATGTTAAATACGCAACTCGCTATTTTAAAATGTCAGAAATGTAGGTAACTGGATCCACCTACAGGAATATTCATTTTCAAAAAAACTTTCATTGGAACCGTAAACTAACCTACGTTTAACAAGTGTTGAAAAACTAGAAGCATTAGATGATCGTTTCATCGTAGTATGAGACTCTTCAATAATATTTCATAGTTGCCACATAATCTCAAATGACTGAGTAAAGGGATTATAAGTGGATGTCAGTACATTTCCAATGTCTAAAGACTTAAAAACGAGTATCTTATTGATTGTAAACTGTAAAAGAAAAATTTATTATAAATAGGCTTCCCTAATCTTCATTAATAAAACATAGATCTGTTGATATTAAAGAAAAAAAGAGTGACTTGATAAAACGCTAAGAATCGATTTCCTTTTACCCAATCATGAATTTTTAATAATTGCCTCAGTTACTATGTAAAATAAAACTCTTATACAAAGCATCATGAAAATATGTTATCTTATCAGTGAATGGTTTAAGTTTAACAATAGGATGAAATGGCCGTCCAGTGCTTCCAGGTTTTCGATGGTGGCCTAGCTTCAACTGACTAATGATCTTAACCAGTGAGATAATCATTTTGTCAATGATGTAATACGTTACTTGTTAGTGATCATACAGTTCATTGAATAAGTTTTTTCCTTTATGAATAAGAATTATTCTACATTAGATAAATTACATTTAAGGTAATAGGTTCTAGTCTAAACTTCGCCTGTAGCTCTTCTAGAGTTAATACCGGTTCCAAGCTTGGTTAAAGGAGGAGGGTTGGGCATGAGGTCGTTAACCCCATCCCATAGAAAAAATCTCTTTTAAAAAATCGCCAACCCGATTAAGTATGTTCAAGTCTAATTCACTTTATGATGCAGTCGACTGTAAGGGAATATGTAATGTTAACATACATTTATGTAACATAAAGAATAATTGCTATGGTGGTATGTAGATATAAGTAGTATGTATCATCAATTTAAAGTGAAATTCCTAGTGGCAGAAGGTTAAGAAGATCGAAGAAAAGGGAACGAGAACAGAGAATGATTACTGTTGAAATCAAAGAACAATGAAGTCTTAGACGATTATTTGACATTTTGTAAATGACCTATTTACTGTATAGTTCTCAGATTTTACTTAGACGTTCTATAATTTTGTATCCACATCCATTCTATTGCCCCCACGTGTGTTCTCGTTCACTACAATATCATGGAGATATACGGATATATATATATGGGACGCAATTAGATCCGATTAAACAAACACTTTTGAAAATAATAAATATATTTTTGTTATATCTCAATGAGTAGAAAAATTGTATTTCTGACGTTTCGTGACTTCGTGTTAGCCACTTCTTCATTGTCAACAATTTTTTTAATATTGACTTGAACACATGAAAATACAGCAATAATGTTTTAAGTTTTATATTAAGAATCCGCCTTTGAAAAAGTATTAGTAATTAATAGCTCTGAATTAACTATATGTTATTTCAGTGAGACTTATACTGTACATCAAAATTGTTTTATTGATTACTGATAGTCTCCTGATAGATGCTATTGTCTAATCAAAAGTCAAACATAATAATAATGCCAGTTAATGAGTATCACTATAGCTGGTTGGAGGTAGTCGATAGGATACCCTGAACTTAGATTTCGAGCCATTTGACACTCATTAAAAAATTGTGCCCGTAATCTTGAGGATGCTTCTCAGCGGATTCAATTCAATGTTACCTAACTTTACAGTTTAGGATGTTATCAGTAAAGTCTTTGGGCAGCGACTCACCTTCTATCAGGATTGAGATATTTATGATTGACTGATCATTGAAGTATATAAAATTACTTAGACTAGTGACCATATTACAGATAGATCGATGAAGCTCGAAAAAAACAGCAACATAAATTTAGCTTCTATTAAATGGCTAGTTAACTATTACTAAATATGACTACAAATGAATTTCTATGCAAAATCAATTTCTGTAATAAAATGTCATATGTATTGTCAATAAATTCAGTTGGAACTTCAATTTATTTAATAATTCTGTATCATATGACGTAAGATATTACTTACTATAAAGAAATCATTGACAAAAAGTGAACAAACAATCTTAAAACCATTGCCATAAATTTTGAAAAAAAATTATGTTAATTATGATAAAAGAAACTCTGCCTATAGTTCTTCTAGAGTTACTGCCGGTCCCAAGCCCGGTTAAAGGAGGAAGGTTGTGTATGGGGTTAGATACTTATCTCGTAGAAAACAAACTCGTTAGAAAAAACAACGCTAACCAGAAAAAAATAATTCAAACCATTTAAATTCTGTCCTAGGAGTTAGAAGCTCTTCCTTTAGAAGATATATTATGCCTCATAGTGAAAACCGGGTTCCTGCGTAAGCCACGAGGTCGATGCTCCTTCTAACAACTAGATTAGGTACATGGAACGTCCGAACAGTGTGTGTAAGACCGAGAACACCAGTAAAATAGTAACGGAAATAAGGAGGTAGTACTGGGAATCAGCGAAACCTATTGAACCGAAACTGGACAACAAAGACTAGATACAAGAAAGTTGCTGTTATACTTTGGTCACCAAAAGGAAAATGCTCAACACACTTTGAGAGTTGCACTAATTCTGTCCAATGATAAAAGATATTGAATAATCATATTATGATACAGTTAAAAGATGTACTGTCTTTTTTTTTCTTGTTTTATTACAAAAAACTATACTACTTATAATAAGAATAGTTTACAATTCAGTAAACACTAATTTTTACAATTCATGTTTTATTTTACAGATGATTTCATTTATTGTTTTGTTATATTTTACAATAGAAAAGAACCTAACTAAAGTTTTCTATTGAGATAAATTAAGTAAATCTGAAATCAATAAATTAGGTAGTTGGATTATTTATAAAAGATGTAACTTTAATCTAATCAAATATAAGTAGTTAATGTTGTCATATAACAAAGTACAATTATATTGAATGACATTCAATTGAGTTTTATGAATTGAATGAATGACTGAATAATTTGATGTATATCATATATGATATAATTAATTACGTCTGTTATCCCTTTGTGAAGGAACATAGGCTGTTCATCACTATTCCTCATTGAACTCTATCTTAGATAATCCTATCTATTAGTTTCCAATTGTTATTCATCATTTTCATATTTGTTTCCGTTTCCTGTCACAATTTGTTCTTTGTTCTTCCTCTTTACCATTTCCTTTTTGGACTTCAAGTAATCAATCGCTTTTCTCGTGATGCAGTTTGATGATTTCTGTAATGTACGTCCTATCCACTTCCAACATATTTTCCTAATTTCTGATTCAATTGGAATCTGGTTTATTCTCTTCCACAGTATATTGCTGTTGATGATATCCGACCAACGGACAGTGGGTATCTTACGTAAACAATTGTTTAGAAATAGTTGTATAGATTTGATAATGTTTTTAGTAGTTCTCCAAGTTTCAGCTCCAAACAATAAAACTGTATTGGCGTTC